GGATGCAAGGAATATCCCTATATATTGCTCAGTGTTCGATCGCCGATCTACCTCAAGCTCTGCAGGAAGGTATTCCCACTCCAGAAATAGTATTGCATGCTGGAAAGGGGGATATATATGGCTCCAGCATATGGCTGGGCATAACACCTACTTATACGCCTTTGCATCGGGACCCAAACCCCAATCTGTTCTGCCAACTGTCCGGCACCAAAGTCATCAGACTCATGGCACCAAGGACAGGAGACTGGTTGTTCAGACAGATCCAGGCCGAGCTGCAGAGATCAGGCAATAGCCGCATAAGAACGGACGAAATGATGCAGGGCGAGGAACGAGATAAGCTACACCAGGCCGTTTGGGAAGCTGATCCCGATAAGCCCGTGCCACCAGGGACATACGAGGTCGTGCTTAATCCTGGAGATGCTATGTTCATTCCTACCCATTATTGGCATTCTGTCAAGAGTGTCGGAGAGAGTGGAGATTTGAATGCCTCAGTCAACTGGTGGTTTCGATAAAAATAAATCGAGTAAAATAGAAGTCGCATATGTATATTATCTATAATCCGTTACTACGCTTTACGGGGCTTGCAGATGATCCAATGAACATATCCGCAAGGCCAGAGGAACACGTCACTGCCGCTCTTGACCTCCCACTTGCTTGTGTCAGCACCGCAAGATCGCAACAGACTCTCGACCTCCTCTGGTGTCCGTGTTCGTAGCGCCGAGATGTAGCCATCAAACGTGAGAACAAAAGGCAGGATCGGAATCAAGCACGAGAAGATAAACGTCGCAGGCGATCGCCACTTGAGAGCGAAGAATGGCGCGCTGAGAAACGCGCCAATACCTAGCAACGTAACCATCAACACACTAGCAAGAGAACGGTCTTGAAGCTCAAAGATAGCGAGCCCCTCGCTTGTCTCGACGCTATCGCGTAGGATCGCAGAAGCTAGGTCGTCGTCAAAGTGGTGGAAGGCGAGATTAAACAGTCTAAACGGCTTTGTCCCGTCCTCTCTTCTTACGAGATGCTTCGGAGCTGATGCGGCATCGACAGATTTACGCTCGTACGTCAGAAGCGGGTTCTTCTGGGCGACCTGCTCCCAAGCGTCGACATTGGGGTGAAGATCCGTAAGGATGAAGCGAACAGAGTCCAATCCGTGGGAGCGCAGGTGTGCATTCACTGTCTTTGCTATGGAGGGCGTAGGTCCACCACCGCCGGCACAGAAATCGATAAAGGTGAAGTCGGATAGAGACGTGTTGAGCTCCTTGATCAGGACTTGGGCGCTGAGGCTTGCGGGACTTTGAGACAGAAGAGGCGGGCTAAAGAGCCAAGCACGGGTGAGGCCATCTTGGACACGTGCGCGAAGAAAAGCAGGAAACCTATGATGCGATGTCAGTAAGATAGGGATGCATCATAAAGCTGCTTGTTCAAGCTCAATTGGCTTGAAATTTGGAGGTGAAGCTCAGGTACGAATTGGCTAACGTACATAGCTTGAGAGCTGGTGGAGCTTTGGTTGGAGTACGTACCATGTCTGGTCATCAATCTCAAAGAGATGGAACCGAGGGACGAGAGGAGCCATTTTGGTTGCAATAGGATTCAGAAACTATTTGAATCGCCTGAAAACTTTGTTATCGGTGGAGTTGGGTTGATGCCGGAGCTATATATGTAGGTAAGTTTAAGCTGTAGGATGTGAAACCATATCCTACTACGCGAGTGCCTTAGTAGGTCGGCAGTTTGTTTCAGCCAAAAATGTCGTCACCATCATAGGGTAAGTGAACCTCGACCAAGAAGTACTCGGCAGTTCTCATGGAACTCGACAGTCAGAAGGATTTCATTATGTTTTTATTGCTACGCTCGCTATTGTACGTACATGATACAACCTTATAATACGTTGTTGATCACTGCACTCACTCTTCCAACAGTGTTTTGACCAAATCTCTGTTGTAATTGTTAGGTTTAAGATCATCAACTATCTTGTCGGGGCATCGGTATAAGGGTCAAATCCCATGCGACGCTTTGCCTCGCTTCGGGCCCTCCATTGTGTCTCACCAACCAAACCCGTAGTCGACGTCTCTTCCAGGAAGAATGTCAGGATGTGATCAGGAATAGACAGATGAGACGTTTGCTGAAACTCCTGAAGACTAGCCAGTCGTATCAGCATCTCCATCAAGGATAAGGATGTTGTGATCGCTCCGAATGGTGACCGGGCGACAAAATCCTCTGTCTCGGTTGGTGATGAAATGGCTGCTTGTAAAGAGCTCATCTTCTCAGGGCTACTCAGTGACAGTCTCTTGATCTGATCAACTACCTTCGAATCTAGAGATCTCCTACCACGACGAGGAGTACTGGACTTTGATGTCACTCTTGGCTGATCTAGCCTCGCCGAGTCTAAAGAGTCATCGTCGTCCTCTTCTTCAGGGTCGTCATCGTCGTCTTGTTCCTCATACACCTCGAGAGCCATCCACTCGGGATCAAGATGTGCAGGAAACTTCCACTTGAGATAGTCCTTCGAGGGATGGATAGCGACATTTGAGTCCTCGGCTGCAGGGCGAACAAACTCTCCCAGCAATTGCTTGTCAATGTCTGCCTGGTCGCCGTCCTTACTGGTCAAATCCAATGCCGTACCGTTACTCTCTCTGTCGATTTCCTCGATAAATCCGTTGATATCATCATGCTCTGACCTGGATGGTCCAACTTGAACATCCCTTTTGAGGAGCAGAACCGGTCTTTGCTCGCTGTCGGTAGCTGACCCTATGTTTAAAATCCGTCCTGTATCTGTGTAGAAGATCTTTGACAACTGATGAACAGGTATAGACTCGCGAATGCCTGCATGCGGGATGTCACCGTATGACTGAGTACCACGCTCGTCGTCATGTACGCGTCCATCGTCTAGATCTTCGATAATTTCGAGATGATAGGCGTATTCACCACCACCAGTCGCTTCAGGAAGAGGAAGCGTGTAGTCTTCCAGTGGTACAGCACAATAACCTCGCTGGCTATCGAAATAGGTGTCTCTTCGAGTTCTACAGATGCGCACACGAGCCTTGTGTAGGACCTCTTGCCACAATGGCTTTCGTTCTCCTTCACCCAAGCCGTAGCCTGTACCGACGCTTGACGAACTTGAGGAGTGGTTGTGGGTAGAGATTGTGGTGTCTGTGACATCTGTCGAGCCGTGTGGCATCAGTGCGGATGCATGCCCAAGGAATAGCATATACAAAGAAAGAGTAAATGCTGGACCAATCTGGACGGGTCTTGTTGGATCTTGGGCAAACTGCGTGTCACCGACAGTAAGTAGAGTGCTGGCCTGCAGTAATCTCGAGGGCGATATGCCAGCAGGCAATGATGTTGAAAGGCTCTCCCCAGACGCACTAATAGCCAACTGCAGAAGTGGGATCTCGCGGTCTATTCGCTCTAACAATGCCTTTATCCCGGAAGCGATGGCCAGCAAGTCATCACGACTAACTCGCAATGGCTTCGTTTGGACACGATTACTGCTTGTATCGACAGTAGTGACGGCCTCTATGCGCCGCCCAAGCGAGACGATGTCCTTATGAAGCGACTTCGCAAGGGGAGCAGCTGATTCAAGAAAAACATTGCCTCTTCCTGACCTAGAGTAGTTGAAAATGTCAGAACTAGACTAGGACAAGTAGCTCGAATTAGAGCATTCTAGTTGGTGAGAGAATGGGGTACTTACTTGAACTCGATCAAGTCTATGGCAGGAGAGATGATCTGTGACGCAATAGGCTGGTTAACTTCTATTGGGCCTCAAGTTATGGCCAAGGTATTCTCTCGACTGGCGGTTGGAATTCATGATGTGACGCACCTTTATTTTGTTGTCGAGCTGATTTTGCAAGGATTTGAGCTCGGCATGGACTGCTTTGTCTTCGACCGACTTTAGTAGCCGCGAACATTGACCTATGGCATAGGATGATGTTAAGGCGATACCAGAGCGAATGGCATATCTCATGGCTTGAACGCCAACTGTTGCGAGAAACTCATCCATGACCAGGACAATATAGGCTCGCAGTTATGGAATATCTTATCATGCTGGGAGAGCACTTAAAGTAAAAGAGTCTCCAGAAGGGGAAGCCAATAAAACTCAGAGAAGATTAAAACATAGAGCAAGCCGAGATTGCACGTCCCTGATAAAAAGTTTCCTAAGAGGTTGTATTGCGTTGATTGATTCACTGCACGAAATTGACCACGCCAGCGCATTAGAGCTTTGACTTTTTGCCCTTACAGCGGCGATAGAGGGGCAACGTGTACAGTGCCAGAAAACCAGGATGCCCCTCGTTTTGTATGGCACGTGCTGAGACTTATGGTGGCTGGTGTTGCTACCCAGTTCGTCATAAGGCTTATTTTCAGGCACAGGATGAGTCAAGACGAGTCAAGAGTAAAGTTAACAAGGCTGATGGATAGATTCACTGGGCGTAATATTCAAGGATAGGATCAACAGTCATTGCAAGACAAGCTTCTGCCTGTTCCGTCTCACCAAGTTTGATATATGGGTATGTGCGAAATAAACATTGCGCACAGTAGACACCTACTAAATTGCCCCTCTACCCTCCTGACACTTTTTTCCTTCAGCGTCATGATTGATGGTGGGGCAGTAATTTTTACAACCTAACCTCAACCTGCCCAACTGAACCTTGCCTCTCCCCACCAGAGCACAAGGAAAGTATTCACAGAATACCATCGTTGGGCTTATTCGCTGCCTAAAGATTACATCAATTATCTATTACGCCAGTCTCGGGCGAATACTAGATCGAGGTCCATCCCCTTACTCTGTGCCTTGCATCCAGTCCAGCCTTTCAAAGAACTTGGCATTGTTTTAACCTTAGTGATCGAAACGAGCCCCATTTTCCACAAAACAGGCCGCATATCTAGGGCCTTTTAAATCCGCAACCCCCATTAGACCGCAACGACCGATCGCAAAACCCTCTCCTCTCCTTCACTCACCTCTACAACGCGGCATATCCCACTCTACCGCCGTTAAACGCATCACAATGGCGACCCCTAACTCTTGGGAGGATGATCCCTCTGCTCAGGATGAGAACCTCGCCCAGCAGGCTCAGCAGCAACTTAACATGAACCCCGCCCCCGCGCAAGGCGGCTTCCAACCAAACATCAACTCTTTCCAGCCTGGTGCCGCCGCTTTCACACCAGGCGCCACTTCTTTCCAGCCTGGTCAGCAAGCATACGGAGGATACGCACCTCAATACCAGCAGCAGCAACAATACTACCAGCAAGGCTACTACCCTCAATACGGTGGTGCTCAGCAGGGCTACGGCCAGTACAACCAGGGCTATGGTGGCTACAACCAAGGCCAAGGTCAAGGTCAAGGTCAAAGTTATGGTATGATACTTGCGCCAAAAAATTTGCCCATCACCAGGGTTCATTATATGACTTACTAACATAATATAGGTGGTGGCTACCCTCAATATGGCCAGCAACAACAACAACAGCAGCAACCATCTCAGCAGCCCGCTGCCCCCACGATTGCCCAGCGACCTGCCGCCGATGCCTCCAGCCAACCCGCTGCTACTGCCCCTAAGCCCAAGGTGATCAGCATCAGTGGCGACACTTCTGCTCCCAAACCCAAGGCCAAGGTTCTCTCCATCTCTGGATCCGGTACCGCTACCCCCGTCAAGCAGGAGGAAACCCCCAAGCCTGAGCCCAACGACAAGCCTGAGGCTGGTCAAAAGGCCACAGCCGCCAAGGCCATCGAGAAGACAGGCGAGAAGGCCGGCAAGGCTGCCAGCACTAAGACTTCTGGCAAGACTTCACCAAGCCCTGCTTCTGGACGTAACAGCCCTACTGCTGGTGAGAAGAAGCCGACTGCCCGAGAGATTGATGCTGTCGAGAAGGAGCAGGCTGCCGACGTCGATGAGGAAACACTCAAGGAAATTTACGGCAAGGAGCACGTCAACATCATCTTCATGGGACACGTTGATGCCGGAAAGTCAACTCTGGGTGGTTCGATTCTGTATGCCACCGGTATGGTTGATGAGCGAACCATGGATAAGTACAAGAGAGAGGCCAAGGAACTGGGTCGTGAGTCTTGGTACCTTTCATGGGTTATGGATTTGAACAAGGAGGAGCGAACACAAGGAAAGACTATCGAGGTTGGACGTGGATTCTTTGAGACCGAGAAGCGTCGTTACAGTATCCTTGATGCTCCTGGTCACAAGATGTACGTCCCCAACATGATTGGAGGTGCATCACAGGCCGATGTCGGTATTCTGGTTATTTCCGCCCGAAAGGGTGAGTATGAAACTGGTTTCGAGCGTGGTGGACAGACCCGTGAGCATGCTATGCTTGCAAAGACTCAGGGTGTCAACAAGCTCATCGTTGCCGTTAACAAGATGGATGACCCCACTGTAGAGTGGTCTCAAGAGCGATATACCGAGTGCACATCCAAACTCGCACAGTTTCTTAAGGGTACTGGTTACAACCTCAAGAACGACGTTTACTTCTTGCCAATTGCTGCTCAGCAAATGAAGGGCATCAAGACCCGTATCCCCAAGGAAGACGCTCCCTGGTGGGAGGGTCCCTCGCTGCTCGAGTACCTCGACAGCATGAAGGCGCTTGAGCGTAAGGTCAATGCTCCTTTCATGTTGCCCGTCAATGGCAAGTACCGTGATCTTGGTACAATGGTAGAGGGAAAGATTGAGGCCGGTGTTGTTAAGAAAGGCATGAACATGATCATGATGCCCAACAAGCAAAGTGTTGAGGCTGCCGCCGTCTACGGCGAGCAGGAAGATGAAGTTCAACTGGCTCAATGTGGTGACCAAGTGCGAATTAGACTCAAGGGTATCGAGGAGGACGATATCCTGCCCGGATTCGTGCTGTGCTCACCAAAGCGACTTGTGCACACTGTCACCGAGTTCGAGGCGCAAATTCGCATTTTGGAGCTTAAGAGTATCTTGACCGCTGGCTTCAACTGTGTTCTTCACGTCCACTCCGCCATTGAGGAAGTGACATTCGCTAGCCTTCTACACAAGCTACAAAAGGGAACCAACCGCAAGAGCAAGAACCCACCTACACACGCCAAGAAGGGCGACAGCATTATCGCCCGCATGCAGGTGATTGGCGGAGCAGGCGCTGTGTGCGTGGAGAAGTTCGAGGACTACCCCCAGATGGGTCGCTTCACATTGAGAGACCAGGTAAGTTTACTCACCCCAGCCCCTGTGGCGATATCCATTACACACATTCCCCCATTCTGCTGACCCCATACTTTTGCCGGCTTTATCCCTAGATAACCAGGGGCAAAGGAACCACTACCGAGCATGGTGTGGTGGGAAGAGTCTTGGGGAGTGCTTTCATCATGTAAGAAACAGCGACTAACTTAATATGTACACAGGGACAAACCATCGCTATTGGCAAGATCACAAGGCTCATCTCTGACGAAGCTTAAATGAATTATGATTGTTCTTGAATCACGCTAGGACACGATTATGTGACGCCAAAAAGGATAGTGGCCATTGGCAAAAAGACTAGGGGAATGTAACGGGCATTCACCGCAGTCATCTTCACGAGTCATCACGGTTTTGGCGCCAAGGGAGGAGACATTTTTCAGGAATGCGAGACCAGCATTTATACGACGAAGGCCACTCTTGTTACTTACCAGGAGGAAGTTGAAAACAACGCCACAAAAAGGAGGGATAGTGGGCAATTTGGTGGTGTCGTGCATTTCCTAAACTTCAGGTATATATAGAGAGCCAAGGAGAAAACAAAAAGGAGTTTGATAGTAAAATATTGTGACACTCATCCTTTTGTGCTAAACATGTGTAAACAGGAGACGCCTGTGAGAATGAGCACAGTGACAAAACACGAGCACTTGGCATCATCTCAATTCTTCCATGTTATATCAAACAGGTGTAGAAGAGAGTTCATGGACTGGTACAAGCAGTTGGTGAATGACATAATGCGAGAATGACGAATCTGCGTAGAAGTAGGCGCGTATGAGAGGTCTGGCCGAAGGAAACTGATAGGGCAGTGAGATAGGGGATCCAAGTTAGACCATGACAGTGAAAAGAAAAAGACAAAGTGAACGAAAATGGCAGTCCGAGTTGTTATCGTGAGTTTTGCAAGTAGAGTCGGGAGGCAACCCATGTATACAAAGGAACAACAAAGCCGGTGACTTGCACCCCACCGAGATGCGCATAAAGTCACGATAATGCATATTCTAGGCCTTAATCCGCGTTCGAGTGACCCCAGTTTCAAGTGCCAGATAGAAAACAGGAATAGTTATCTTGATGGACGGTTTCCGAAGTTAGCTAGGTAACTGGGACGGGACGGAAACCCAATGGGGGTGCTTTCTATGTAACAGAGTCACAGGTTTTTCATGGCTAGGATCAGAAAGAATATCAGTGAGAGATATGCGTACGAGAAAAAGCCGGGACGGTCCAAGACAGCGTTCTTGAGACAGACAGTTATCGTCGAGATCTCAAATGAAGATCCGGGATGAACATGGGGAAGGGAGGTAGATTGCGGGTGCGGTTGCGGTTGCGGATGCGGATCCCCATACGGTGCCATGTATATGGACGTGGGCATGAGCATAGAGGTTTTGTAATGTCACACCCGACTAACGTTGTCCATGTTTCGGTTAACTTCCTGACTACTGTGCCCCCGTCAGTCGGCTCCGTTTCGTCCGTATGCCTCCGGTACGCGATGCCAACCACTCGCCCGCTCACCTTGCCCATGCCTGTGCTGCATGCCTCTTGTTTAGTCTCACCTGCAGTTCTCATTATCTCTAATGGAATAATAGGCTGGTGATAACGGATAGGCCTCCATAATGATTACTACCGTTTCGCTTCTCGTTGTACGGAGTAGAAATACTAATATTCTTTCCCGTCCGGCCGTTAAATTCCTGTGGATACAGAACGCGCCTCATTAACGCCTTTGGTACTGGCTAGCTCACATCGTTCAAGCACAATCATGATAATAGTAATATCAAACTAGAACTTCGCCAGCCTCAACTCATCAGCATGCAAAACTGACCCGCCCTGAACCCAATGGTGTTCACAGCGTTCCGTGCACCTCCGGCCTCTCGGTAACCTTCCGAAGAGATTTCTACAATGAGATTATTCTGTCGCAAGGTTTCACTCACCGAGAAGTGGCAGCTTGCCGTATTCTACTAAACCGCATCTCATCTGGCACGCCCCCAACTCCCGATCCGCTGGGCCGCTTCCAGCCAGCAGCCAGCAGCCAGTCTGTCTGCCCCCGCAGGTCAACCCCAGTTCCCCACACGGTTCTTGAGCCCCAGCCGCGGGAACGTACCGACATATTTTATGATGGAGGCTCCGGGCGGGAAAACGGTCAGAAACGGAGGTTCGGATGATGTCGGAACACTCAGAGCACGGTTACTGACAAGGTGAGCACTTGGAGAGGGGTGTCTAGGGTGTGTCTGTTTTCAAGGTGAGGGTCTAGCCAATCAGGCTTGTTTATGTGCTAGCTTTGTCGAAATACGGAGTCGTGTGGAGAGACGCAGCTTGAAAAGTGCAACAGGGGAATGCAAGTTCAAGGTCTGTACGTCACCCAGACCCCAAGAAAGAGGCTACTGACGGTAATGTATTCGCATTATTATCGTGACTGTTGTTTTTGGTCTTGTATTTTGCGTAATGACTGGCACTGTCAAGTCCGAGTTGCGGGGCGAGCAAGCCCTTAGTTCAGGGGCAGTCAAACCGGGATCCAAACCACGAAGATTACCTGGGTACAAGTGTCCGGTAGCAAGGAGTTGGTTGAAATTTTCTTCTCCAAATCGTGACTGGTTTTGACTCGGTAACGAGAGTCATGTGGACCGTCTGTTCCAAAAGTAGGTGTCCCCAGGTTCATGGTCAAAAACCCCAAGTGAAGATAAGAACACAGTCTAGAAGCCTCCACCTTACTCAAAGCTGAACACCACCTACCTAGGCACCATGTGGTGACGGAAATAGGTAGAGTCTCATAAATTTTGTCCTCGTACTCTATCCTTATGCTGTGTTCAGTACCCAACTCTTACCATATGTAGGTACTAACCCAGAAATAGATTCAGTTGCAGATGGTGACTTGGAAATCGTCGATGCTAATTACTGGTCCACTGAGATAATAAGCACTTCCTCGATTGTGAAATTTTAGTCTTCAAGAAGGAAATTGAAGACTGACAAATGTACCAACCTCCTACTCAAAAAGGAATCCGCATTGGCACCTGCAGAAGTTAATTCCCGAAGTTCTCAGTATGGAGAGTATGTAGACTTTCGTGTTGTTTATGTGCAATAGTACTTTGATGCCTTCAAAGCACTTTGAGCTAGCAGATCGTGGGGTAAAACGACGCGACAACCCTAGGGTAGGTGATGAGGCAGGCACTGCATAGTCTCAAGTCTTTCCATTACGATGAGACTTTCTACATCATACACAAATTTGATGCTTGATTAAACATGATTTGCAATATTCCTCTATCATGTTGCTCGTCTTTGCTTAACTTAAACATGTGAATGGCAGAGTGTACAGTACAAACACCAGCCTATACCATCAGCAGCCGGGAATAGCCAAGGTACGTACAAGCACCAAACTAACAACTGTTGCATTGCTTTGGATTTTTCGTTAATGGATCTAGCGTCGATAGCAATGCCTCTTCTCTCCGTACCGTATCCACTGTCTCCGTGTTATTGCTGTCTGCTGACCGATGAGTTTTAGCAGCACAGACAAAGAGTGCATCGTAGACCGAGCTGGGCCTGGGGTGAGGCTCGGTGTCGCTTTTTTCTTTGCTTTTTTCTTCATCTCCTGTTCATCTCCCTTTTCTCTCCACAATTTCAAACTCAGCTCTAGCTCCTTCGACTCAAGGTTATTCCCTTTTTAGTCCTGACCGCCCTCATCCAGTACGCGGTCTTGGCAAGCTTGTTTCCCCATGATCTTGACATGCCTATTGTACCTTTGTACATTGTCTAGACTCTGGATCATGAATGGAAGTTTTGGCCGTATGTTTAATTTGTTGGTCGGCTGACCTGTTACTCAAAAGACATTGACTAGCATGCGCATTACAGTACGTAAAAATTATTGATCTGACTGCAGCCAGACTTCCGGCCTCCCCAGTCTTGGCTCTCGTCGTCCAAGACGAAGTACTTCACGATGGCCACCCACTATCAGTAATGTCCCGTCGTCATCCTTAACGGTATAACCAATGGGTTAAAATCTTTGCATCCAATGCATCCCCACAGCCATGTACTGTTGCGCTGCTCTTCATGCCAGCCATTGCGAGAAAGCAGGCAGTCAAGCCAGCAAGAGGAAATATCATTATCCATATCAGGATCGTGCCAAACTGCCTTGCGACAAAGCAAAAAGAGGGTTGCAGGACTACACCCATACAGAATCTCCAAACTCTAAGGAATTCAATGTCCGTACAAGTTTGACTGGCCTAGCAGTAGCTCTTGTTATACCCCGTACTGCCCCGATGGTAATCAAATATGGATGAGGGGAAACCGGGGACTCGGCCCTTGCCAGGCCCTGTAAGTCGGCGCAGTACGGTACAGTAATAAACGGTAGGCGATCCGATTACGGTGGGTAACATGGTACGGGGCATTCAATAAGAGAATTCACGTCAATACAGCAACGAATCTCAGGAAGAGTTTTCTTCCCAATTAAATTCTACCATGTATATTATGCATGACAATTTATCCATGTAGAAATGGGCTCTGGGAGGTATTCAGTATGTAATTGATATGCAGCCGAGTCTCTTTTTACGGAAGATCGCGGGTATTGAATCGCAGTTATGTTTTAGATTGGGGTCCTGGACCGACGATCATGACGACACATTTGTTCCTGATTGAACTACACGATCCCAAGATGATTGTGGTTTTGCAATAGAATTATAGACACAAGTAATTGTAACAATATATCCTAACAAATTCGGTCAAAGAGAGGTGGCCGGTACAGAGCCCTCAGTATAACAAGATGTGGTGTTTTGATGAATTGGCTGAATATTGTAGACTCGTATATAAGAATATCAGAAGAGAAATAGGCAGGTACTGTCATCATTGTCAACACAAGCAAGCTACATACAAACAAACAAACAAACAAACAACCTGACTATCATCTGCTTTGCTTTTACCAGCAACAACAACGGTAGCGAGGTGAAGAGAGTCTACGTACCTACATACCTACCGTCTTCTGCATACAGTGTCATTCAGTATCCTTTTTACCGTCAACATCGACGTCAAGTGGGCGTTACTGTACCTACCCGTCGTTCGGCATCATCTATAGCGAAGACAGTCTCAGGAATCCATCCATTCGTTCATCCACCCACTCATCTTGCTTGTTTACAATTCCCTGAACCAAGAACCGACGTCTTCCGACATCTTCCTGGCCTGGACTTAGCTTAGTCCAATTCTCCCCGCCAAAACTCTGGCGCTTTCTCCCCTCATTCTTGTCAAGAGTCTGGACGGACGTGGACCGGGGGTTTGGGTTACGTTTTGTGACCCCCTTCCGTCCCGCAACAACCCATCGTAAAGCTGGCTCCCAGACTGTGTCGGGTACATTTGTACCATCCTCATCATGACCTTTCCCGTCCCGTCACCGTCACCTTGACCTTGTCCTTGTACCAAGGAATCTCTTCCGACTTAATATCGTGCCCGTCACCTGCGACGCCTCGTCGGATCCACTACGCGCTTGTCTCTGCCAGTCAGAGCCTAGCCCTCTATCCGTCCCCATCCTACTCCATCCTCGGTTTTGGCCATGGTAAACGGGCACTATCTAAAGTGCCCAGTTTGCGGAGGGCCACACCTTGTATAGCACACCCCAGGGCGTTCACCTTCAAATCTCAAGCTGCTCGTGAAGCTTTTATAAAAGCCATGAATGACCCCGTCTTCAAAACTGCTTCTCTCTATTCAAATACAACTTTCATCAAAGGTCCAGGCTCAAACATCCAGGCTTCAGGAACCGATTTTTTCAAGAGTGAGTCTTGTCTTTACACCTTGGTCGACTTGTCATGATGCCCTCACACAGCCTGTCATTCCCATGATCGAATCTCTACGTCCAATTCTCATCATCACACAATACCAAAACGCAATACTGACCCTGTAGCAGTGCTTCCCAACAACGTTAACAAGACTTCTCTCCACCCTACCGGTGTTACGTATGTTTCCCATGATATGCACATGTTTGCGCATGTCCACTAACATAGACTTCAGCCCTCACCAGGAGCACACCGAGCTGGAACAGGAGCTCCACGACAAGGCTCACATCGATTACGACCGTGTCGCTATTGTAAGAAACATTTTGCGACCCATTCAAAAGTAGCCGGCACTAACATGGCACTACTCAGATCCCCAACCCTTCAGTCGCTGCTCTCTACGAGGATGCTCTCGTCTACGAGACTGGTACCGCTATCACATCCAGCGGTGCCCTGACTGCCTACTCTGGTGCTAAGACTGGTCGATCTCCTCTTGACAAGCGAATTGTCGAGGAGGCTTCTTCCAAGGACAACATTTGGTATGTTAACACCCAAAAATCCGGCAATAGAGTTCCATTGTCGTGTGCATGAGTCGTGGTCATCAGACAGCTAACAAAAAATTACTAGGTGGGGACCTGTTAACAAGCCCATGACTCCTGAGGTAAGAAACATTTGGCGCTCTGCCCAAGCACATTGCACATCATATCCGCCCACATCATCAATTGAGACTTGCTTGCTGTGATATTTGGACTTTTCTCTTCCGATCTCGGTCACAGAAGAAGAATTGCCAATATCACGAGCTTGACGACAACGAGACGAACGAACCGAGACCAAACAAATTGTCTAGACCGACGGGATGGTTTTGTCCATTCCAGCGACCAGACTCTTACAATTGGGGCTACTCCGAGGATACCCGCAGCGTGGGCGTCATGGCTTTGACGGCCTGTCCACTGGTGCTTATTCTCTTACCCAATTGCCTGGTCGCTGGTTGGTACAGCCTGACCGAGTGGTTCTCTAGCGGTTCATTGGCTTAACGCCATGGTACCTGTTCGCTTGGCTTGTTCCCCTGGTCGTTCCGGGGTGGCGCGTCATGGGGTCGGCAATCTTGACCCCGCAGTCTCAGTCCTCACACGCTCACTTTCCTCTCTGGCAATTGTCTGCGGACTCAATCCGAGATGTCTGTCCCGACCCCCGAAGCTGTCAACCGTGCTATGCCCCTCTTTTCTTCCCGTCTACGATTTCTTCCGACCCGGCTGCCTTTAACCCGTTATGGAATGGCGGCCGGATCTCCTTCCCCGAATGATCTCATTCATCGCATAACTTTCTCATTGAAACATTGGCTGACAAAATAATTACTACAGGTCTGGAAGATCAACCGAGAACGTGCTGTCGACTACCTCAACACCCGAAGCCGTATCTATGTCATTGACGGTTTTGCCGGCTGGGACGAGAAGTACCGCATCAAGGTCCGAGTTATCTGCGCCCGCGCCTACCATGCTCTCTTCATGCGAAACATGCTTATCCGACCTACACGAGAGGAGCTCAAGGACTTCCACCCTGACTACACAATCTACAATGCTGGCAAGTTCCCTGCCAACCGATACACCGAGGGTATGACCTCCGGTACATCGGTTGCCATCAACTTCGAGCAGAAGGAGATGGTCATCCTCGGTACTGAGTACGCTGGCGAAATGAAGAAGGGAGTCTTCACTGTTCTTTTCTACGAGATGCCTATCAAGCACAACGTCCTCACCCTTCACTCCTCCGCCAACGAGGGCAAGAATGGCGATGTCACCCTTTTCTTCGGTCTCTCTGGAACTGGCAAGACCACTCTCTCCGCCGACCCCAACCGAGCTCTTATTGGTGACGATGAGCACTGCTGGTCTGACAACGGTGTTTTCAACATCGAGGGTGGTTGCTACGCCAAGACCATTGGTCTGTCTGCTGAGAAGGAGCCCGATATCTACGGCGCTATCCGATACGGTTCCGTCCTCGAGAACGTTGTCTTCGACCCTCTCACCCGTGAGGTCGACTACGACGACGCTACCCTCACTGAGAACACCCGATGCGCCTACCCCATCGAGTACATCTCCAACGCCAAGATTCCTTGCCTCTCCCCCAACTCCCCTTCCAACATCATCCTCCTCACTTGCGACGCCCGTGGTGTCCTGCCTCCTATCTCCAAGCTTGACAGCGCCCAGACCATGTTCCACTTCATCTCTGGTTACACCTCCAAGATGGCCGGTACTGAGGACGGCGTCACTGAGCCCCAGGCTACCTTCTCCAGCTGCTTCGCTCAGCCCTTCCTTGCTCTGCACCCCATGAAGTACGCCAAGATGCTTGCCGACAAGATCGAGACACATAAGGCCAACGCTTGGCTCCTCAACACCGGTTGGGTCGGTGCCGGTTTCGCTCAGGGCGGCAAGCGATGCCCCCTCAAGTACACCCGTGCCATCCTCGACGCCATCCACTCTGGCGAGCTCGCCAACGTTGAGTACGAGAACTACGGTGTCTTCAACCTCCAGGTCCCCAAGACCTGCCCCAACGTTCCTTCAGAGCTCCTCAACCCTTCCAAGGCTTGGACCGCTGGCGAGGACAGCTTCAACACCGAGGTTGTCAAGCTCGGCAAGCTCTTCCGCGAGAACTTCGCCAAGTACGAGAGCGAGGCCACCGAGGATGTCGTCAAGGCTGGCCCCGTTGTCTAAGGAAAAGGATAAGAAGGGGAAAAAAGGGAAAGCGATCTTTTTTTTGTGATGAATTTGAGCAACTGTTTACCATTTGGGTCCGGCGTCATTACATGGCGGCCATCAACCGGCTGCCCTCTTTTTTTAATTTTATATATCTGAAGGGTTTTCTTTTACATGGCATGAGATTGTATGTAATGTAAGCATGAACAGCTTTACGATTCTGCAATAGAAAAGTATATATCTTCTACACTTTGGCTTCCGAGCTGTCTCCTGTGAATGTTTAAAAAATACACCAATAATGTCCACAAAACGACTTGATTCAACAACCCTGGATACCTTTGCAACGTAATGATCGTTGGCCATCTTTTATAACCTGACAAGTCTTGATTTGGGGAGGATAGGACAGAGGATAAATGCCTGCGAGTTGGAAATCATCGAGCTATACTTTCATTAAATCATTAGATTGGTACATTAGCACCTGCTTTCCTAATACCCTGAACGAGGCAATCTATTATACACCATTTAGGGGCCTCAGGGTATCAGAAAAACTGACCGCTGGAAGCATACGAGACGAAATTAGTATGTCACTTTATGTTCCTTAGGGTATAAAAATAAGTAGTCTAAGAACTATAGCCCAAGACTTAGGAGGCCAACTTTTCTGCTACCCATTAGAGGGGACCAAACGGTAGACTACCGCGGGGTTATGTGGTTTCACGGCCGTTTATCGCCAACCTAATGACATAATGAGTTGCCCCAGTAACCGATGAGGGGTATCATAAATCACAAGACAGTTTTTGCTGTCTACCGGCTCATAACTGTTCATTGTTTTTTGACACCCAAAACTAAGGGGACACGGACCCCACCACGCTGGACATACCATACAAAGTTCCTTACCCTTACTCAACGGCTTTCAACTTGTTCAAAACTGCCCCGCGTCAACCCAACACCACTCAAAGCATCAGAAAAGTTGGCCGCATAAAGACAAGAAATATCAGTAAGTTAGTTTGTGTTATTGAGACAATACCCCTAGGTTATTTACTTTTATACCCCAGACCTTAGAGGCTAACTTTTCTGTTACCTTTTAGCCATCTCATCGACCAACATGGTGAACGAACGTGCACTCCCGAGGGCGCCTCGCGAGCCCTCTCCTGACGACGACATCACCGCCCTTATCACTGGCGCTACTAGCACTCCCACGTTCGGTCACCCTACCAAGATGATGTCCTCTCGTAAGCAGAGAGCAGACCCTTTTATACGGCAGAAGACCCGACCTGAACACCATCTCAGCAACAGCGGTACCAAAATCACAGGCCCCAGAGGCCCTACATATCACGACCGGAGGGCGCCATCGTTACCGATGTTCAGCTCAGATGCTCCACCTGCACCACCAGTCGCATCTTCGTATGCACCCTCCAGAAACTACGGCGGCGAGGAGACCTTTTATACAGACCCTGCCAAGGCAAGCGCCGATTTGAAGGCCTTACTTGAGGGTGGCATGGAAGAGGGCGAAGAAGAAGGTGGGGAGGAAGGCGGAGAAAGCCATGGCGAGAAGAAACAAGAAGCAACAAAAGATGCTAAAGACGGCACAATAGATGGTCTTAAGGTCAAGTTGTTGCCTCATCAAGTCGAAGGTGTTGAATGGATGAGGGGACGAGAACTAGGTCCTGTGAAACGAGGAAGGGTGCCCAAGGGAGGTATCCTCGCTGACGATATGGGTCTTGGAAAGACCCTTCAAACCATCTCGCTCATCCTCACCAACCAGAAGCCGGCCAAGAACGCTCCTGGCTGGAAGAAGCACTTTGAGACGATTGAAAAGACAACACTTGTGGTGGCGCCCCTAGCTCTGATTCGTCAATGGGAACACGAAATTAAGGATAGAGTGGAAAAGACTCATGGCCTCAAAGTTTGTGTCCATCATGGGCCCAACCGCACCAAAAGATTTAAAGATCTTGCCGTTTACGACGTTGTTATTACAACCTACCAAATTCTAGTCTCAGAGCATGGAAACTCATCTGATGCCGAGAATGGATTGAAGGCGGGTTGTTTCGGCCTGCACTGGTGGCGAGTCGTCCTGGACGAAGCCCATACCATCAAGAACCGAAACGCAAAAGCCACAAAGGCATGCTACGCCTTGAGTTCAGAGTATCGATGGTGTTTATCCGGTACGCCCATGCAAAACAACCTTGATGAACTCCAATCTCTCATTAAGTTTCTTCGCATTCGACCCTACGATAATCTCAAGGAATGGAAGGAGCATATTGACCTGCCCTTGAAGAACGGCCGAGGTCACATTGCCATTCGAAGATTACACAGCCTTCTCAGATGCTTCATGAAGCGACGAACTAAAGATATCCTCAAGGAAGAAGGCGCCCTTAACCCTGGTGGTAAGCCTTCCGCCAAGGGCGAAGGCTCCTCGACGGGTTTCAAGGTTACCGAGCGCAAGGTCGTCACTGTGGCGGCTGAGCTATCACCAGCAGAGCGCAAATTCTATGATCGGCTAGCAGCCCGGGCAGACCGGAGTCTTGAGGATCAGATGTTACAAGGCAAAGTCAATTACGCCAATGCTTTGACTCTATTGCTCCGACTCCGACAAGCTTGTAACCACCCCAAACTTGTTGAAGGCAAACTAGAGAAGGATAAGGATGCAATGTCGATAGGTTCTACTCAGAAGAACCAGGAGGCAGACATCGATTCTATGGCCGATATGTTCGCGGGGATGGGCATCGTCTCCAAGGATTGCAATATCTGTGGTCGAGGCTTGAGTAGCGAAGATAACAAATCAGGCAAAGACATCTGCTCTGAATGTCACGCAGACCTGGCATATTTTAACGACCATGAGCGATCAGAGCAGCCTGAACGACCTAAGAAGTCAAAGAAGTCCAAATCCAAATCCAAGAGCAAGGGCAAGAAAGAAAAGAAGAAGGAAGGGGCCAGAAAGAATGTCGTCGATCGAAAGGTTCTCAATAGAGAAATCGTCGAGGTCGATGACGATGAGGAGGAGAATGATGAGTCCCACAAGGCGACCTCGAGACGACTTCGCAACCGAAACGCTGTTGTAGACAGTGATGACGAGGACGTATTGTCGCCACAAAAGACCGCTCGAAAGCCTCGAAACCGTAACGCTATCTTGGATAGTGACGAGGAGGAAGAAGCCGAAGGTTCATGGCTCGTTGCTGAAGATGAACAAGGCTCACTTCACCTCGGAAAGGCTGGTGGCGAAGAAGACGAAAATGCCGAAGGTGGGGGCGATTCTATAGGCCCTGAAGACTCTGAGGACGAGGAGAGTAAGCTCGACGACAAGAGTAACCTGAGCAGTTTTATTGAGAACGACGAAACTACCGACAACCCTTACCAAAAGGCTGGCAATGCCTCTGACTCTGACTCTGATGACTCTTTGGCATCTCTGACTGATCTTACGAAGCGTATGGCTGCACAGACACTGGATGATAGAAGATCCAAAACTGCAGACACAGCGACTGCAGATACAACTGCTGTCTCCGGATCTTCTGACTCTGATTCTGGATCGGGATCCGAGTCCGATATCGATTCTTCTGACGCGTCTTCTGATGAAGATGACAGCGTCTTCTATCCTTCACGCGACCCCGACTCTCCACAAGTCCTCGCTTCCTCAAAGATTCGAGAGCTCATCAAGATCCTTCAGAATGAAGTCAAGGAACACAAATTCATTGTTTTCTCCCAATTCACCTCCATGCTCAACCTGGTGGAACCCTTCTTTCGTAAGGAGCGGTTCAGCTTCGTCCGATACGATGGTAGCATGAAGAATGATGAGCGAGAAGAAAGCTTGCGAAAGTTAAGGAGCGATCCTGAGACGCGAATCCTGCTGTGCAGTTTGAAGTGCGGTAGTTTAGGACTCAACCTCACAGCGGCGACCAGAGTTGTCATCCTCGAGCCTTTTTGGAATCCAGTATGTCCCCTCCCCTTCCCCCTTCCCCTACTCCCTAGTGGGTAGCAGAAAAGTTGGCCTCCTAAGTCTTAGAGTACAAAAATAAGTGGCCTAAGAACCATAGTCTAATTCGCATAAACTGGCGTACCAATTTCGTCCCTTATGCTTTTAGCGGCCAATTTTTCTGATACCCTGAGGCCCCCCCTATCTAAAGACTTGCTAACAGATACAGTTTGTGGAAGAACAAGCCATCGATCGTGTTCACCGCCTCACACAGACCGTCGATGTCATCATCTACAAGCTCACTGTATCCAAAACAGTTGAGGAACGTATCCTCGAATTGCAAGATAAAAAGCGTGAACTCGCCGAGCAGGCTATCGAGGGTGGCATGCGCAAGGAAGCCCTCAAGCTTGGCCTCAACGAAATCATCAACCTGTTCAAGCCAGGGTCTTCTGCAGAAAACCCTAGCATAATCGCTGATACCTCTAGTGTGGCCGATGCCAGCTTTGATAGCAACGGACGTAGGACCAGGACAGCGGCTCCAACGCAGGGGCGGCTCAAGAAGGAAGAGAGCTCTATCTACGGTCGAAGATGGTAGAATGCTATTAGGCAAAGCCGGCAACTTGCGCAACGAAGTGAATGGAAGTTGCCTCCGGCTTTGCCTCACTATAATGACTATACGCATGGCTCTAGAAAGGGAAGGAAAGGCGTTTTAGAAGGCTGTAGGATTTTATGATGCAGTTTAACATGATTTTGGATCCCTATCATCACTCTCACTTGACTTGTATATTTCACAATGGAAGTATGCCTCGTCTTTAGGTACTAAAAAGTTAGTGCTTGAGGCATAAGAGACGAAAATTTAGTAAGTCAGTTTATGCTATTTAGACCATACTCTAAGGTTAGTTACATTTGTATCCTAAAGCTCGGAGGTCATCTTCTGTTGCCTACTAGCTCGCTAAATAAGGTACAGGCATTTTCTATTTTATTTCTTACGAATCGAGGTATGACGAAATGTGCAAGATAGGAAACGACCCTGATGCTGTGAGACACTACGAGTTGTCGAGGTAAGTCGTAGTATTAAGGCGGTGGAATTCCTGAACTTGACAAATATTGTTTCCAACAAAGCTGTGTCAGGACAACCTAGTATCACCACACCAGTCAGTGTAATACCAACTGCTCAAGTAAGACGCGCTGGCCTTGAAACTGCCCGTTATCACAGGAAGGACTTTATAGCTGTCCAGACATTTCCCTGCTCAGAGATTTGTGTCGGACGTTTCTTGAGATAGAAAAATGATAACGCTCCATGACAATTAATCTCAGATAATATGACCTCCGCCCGTTCTTGCACGAATCACCCACTATTATACATTTCTTCTTGAACAGCACACGGCTTGATTATGCTAGGGGAACAGGAGCAGGGGCCTCGGTTCCAGAAGCCTGTTTTCCACCGACGGGAGGGAGGAAGATAGGTAGATAAGTAACGACAAGAGCCATAACTGCGTCCCGTTAGACATCGTATTCTTATTGCTGGATGTATGGGGGAAACATACTTGACATGCCGACCGAAAAGTATCCAGGGGTGGTGGAGTTCTTCTTAGAATCCTCGCTCTCGCCGAGCCAGCTCTGGATGGAGAAAACGACCGAGGCCCTGTTCATATCAAAAGTCGTTAGCAATCCGGCTGTATATCTTGCATGGTTTCGTCGTTATCGCGCCATATCTCCGCGACCATCAGGAATCATTCGGCTACATACCATCCCACAAGCTTGTTGCGCGTGAACATAGCCGCCATAGGAAGGGTGGTAGACATTGTCGAGGAGATATCGGTCGACTCGCCCGAGCTCTTAGGCTCTTGGTAAGGGACGACTGTGTCATTAAGTTAGCTTGCTGGTCGCAATTGTGACAATCGCATGGCGCTGGAAGTTTGCGCACAGGTTTTTGCCGAGCGTTCTAGCCGTGGTACTTACTGAGGTCGGTTCTTCTGGGGTCTTTGGGAGGCGACATGTTTGCTGTTGTGGTGATGACAAGTGGTGCTTGGTCGATGGGTGTCGCAATTACCTCTTAGCTCGCGCGACCTGTCGTCGAGTCAATTGGACTGGGGTGAGGCTTGCATTGTGGCGCTTTCTCGGATGGGGTAGCGTGGCGTAGAATTTTACCTGCCTAAAAGGGAAATGAATATACCCAAACGCTGACTTACTAGAGCAGACAGAGGATCATGATAAACACTACCTATGTAGAAGAGGCTTCCATTTTCTAATCTTCTAACTATCATGATACAAAAAGAGATGCAGATATAATAATACTTGGCCGTATAATGATTGTACACACATCACAGGTCACAACCAAGATTTGATATCCAGCATAGACATACATATGATAGTAACACACCAGCAACTTTGACCAGTCCACGACAGTCGCAGCTGTTCGTAGACCCTATTTTGCAAAACATCATACACCCGTAACACAAACGCCATATCATAAGCTCGTGATGGCAGAGATGTGTCTCATTTACTCCACCCTGATAATAACCTTCCATTGCAATGCCCCGGCTTCGCGAATAGCGCAGGCAAGGCATCCTCTCTTTCGTCGACTGATGATGGCATTCCAGCCTTTTTGAGCACAGAGCGCACGAACCAGAATTTCCATGTCTGAGCCGAATTGTCGTTTCCTGGACTCGAAATGCATTTGTTCCGCGGCAGGGAAACTGCCTCGTCGCTGAACGATATTATATTTTGAGGTTAGCCTCTCGATGGTGGGAGATTGAGGCACTTCTGATAAGTTGGTGATGCAATCAATAACAAGCACCCGGTCGCTTCCTAGTCGCGAAGGCGTACGGCGGTGAGTTGGAGGGGCCGCAAGAAGCTCTGAAAGCGGAGTGTGCTGACGCTTCAGAAGCTCCGAGATGTGGATGACAGCGTAATTATACCATTTGTGTAATGGATGGCCTGAGAATACATTTAGTTGGGAACCGTAAGCCTTGTAGAGATTATCCATACCTGTGCGATTGGCAGGCCGAGAGCCTTGCCCGAACGTGTCAGACCCAGTCACGTCAATTTGTTGGATTGTTGGGCTTGATGGCGATTTAATGAAACGAACTCGGTGAGAAGGTGAACACGGGTGCGCCGTTACGAAACTAATGTCGTAGGCCAGAGAGAACGAGAAGTTCTCAGCCGTGAATCCGTCAATGGCCACAGCAAAATTGACAGTGGCTGGTAACGATAGTAATTCAGGATCCTTGTTAGCTGCCCTCGCGGGGAAAACCTTGGTCGACTCGGATGATATGAGTTCCAGTGATCGAAAAGTAACGCTAATCAACGGAGGAGGTGTCGAGTAGTTATTTTCGTGGGGGATGATGAAGTCTGCAGGGAAACAAGAGTATTCGTCTGCATCTCCAAGGATAGAAGATTCGCGCTCGACTCGCTTCTTTGCCCATAGTCTCGCTTTCTTGCCCAAATGAGCCATATCGTCTGTTATTTGTTAGTTAGTCTTCATCATCGGCATGCGTACAAGGACTTGCCAGCTACGTTTTCCACCTCAATATTCACCCAACCTTCGTCAATGCCAAGAGGAAGAATATCACTTGAAACCCATCCCATGCATTCGGCGGAACCTTGGCCTGCTGCAATGACTCGGCCCACAATACACGATGTGCTCCAGAAGCTCTTGCCTGAGTACACAAATCCCCCACACAAGTTGGCAAACGAGCCCAAGCGTTCCATGGCTTTGCTGTCGTTCTCGAGTAGTGTGGCCATCAGGAAATGACACAAGCCATCTCCAGGGAGCATCAGACCATACACATACGATTTTGAAAGCCAGCCGGAAGGATGGAGCGCTGCTGCGAGCTTTCGTCGTTGTGGCCGTGACTTGTCTTTCTGGTCGTACGATCCGAAGTACAACGATCGCTTGGATCCGTTTGTTTCAGAAGACTTTTTGGCTGGTTTATCAAGAGCAACTGCAGGAGTCGGCTTTGGAACCAAACCAATGATGGATCGACGTGCATTGTTTGCGATGAGACCCTCATACGTGTCAATGCCAGGCCAGAGTAGTTTCTTTGCAAAATGGGTAAGCCCGTCCACCTGCTGTTGTGGATTACGGCCTTTAATAGTATAGCTATGACTGGCTGTCGTTTTATCTTCGTGATGTTGACGGAAGGTGAATTTGCTAAAGAGGGAGCCCAGCCAACCTGATGCTGGAGGAGGCGTGGCTGGTTTCTCTGTCTTGGAACCGCTTGAAGGCTGCTCTTCAACTTTTTCAATTTCGATATTGTCAAGCCAGCTTCGTGCAAGGTGTAGCGACCATTTGACCATCGGAGTAGCGGCTCGCTCAAAGTGAACAACGTCGATAGGTCGGAACGCCTCGACCCCGTATTCCTCACCCTCCGTGATGGCATCTAGTCGAATGAGCAGTTCAGTAGCGACAAGAATTTGCATGAAGAGCCAATACTTCTCCTCAGCTCGCTCACTTGCATTGGTTGTATCGTGAATTGATGAAGTATCCTCCAGTTCATCGTTGTCTTCACTTCCCCACAGGATCTGTCCCAGTCTGATCCTCCACTCAACATGGGTGAAGTCGAACCACACATTGGCAGTGCCGAGACACTTGATCAGGGCGTTAATTTGGTTGGCCAAGCTGTAGTGGTCGCGCTTATCGACAACAGAATTGCATGGCCGCATGAATGAATGAAAGAGGTCCTGGTAAGTCTGGACAGACGTCTTCTTACGAAGATCATTGACTCGGTACAGTTCAGAATTTCGCCTAAGACGGTCCATCAGTTCAGTCTCGGGAAGGCGACGCAGGTAACCCAGTGGGGAAAGCATGCGCTCACGTGCCTCGACGATAGCATGGGCTTTCTTTCCGAGACTGTCGAAACCGAATTGCTCCTCCTCGAGGGCATCGCCAACGGCAAGCTCAAGAGCAGCTGAGAAGCCCATAGTCCCCTTTTCCAGGCCCTGCATATTCAGCATATTAGGACGCTCCCGGCAGCGGATAAAGAAGTGCGCCTTGCGCGAGTCGACAGCCTTTGCTCGGGCAGCGGCATCCTGATTAAGGTCCCGAGTTAGGTGAGGCCATGCTGTAAGACCGCTCCATGCTCGGTCTTCGATTTGTACGTGGTCAGTGAGATCACGGATCTCCAATGCCTCGTCAAAGGGAAATGCAACGCTGGGATTGGGGGCACCAGAGCAATGCCCCTCGCTACGGGCGAAATACTGAGGGGCTCCCGAGAAGAGCTTCTCGATCTCGGACTCAGTGAGAGTAGACATGATTCGATTCAGCTTTAAGACGGGCTTGGGCGGGGGAGAAGTAGCATTTTCCTTGTTGGACAAGGAACCCGGAGTCGGTGGAGGAGGAGGAAGCGGCTTGTTCTGGTCCGGAGGTGAACGCGGGGAAATAAGAGCCTGTGGTAAATGTGACGGCGACTGTGACGATGAAGGCGTGGGCGTCAAGGGCGTCAAGGGCGTCTTAGTGTTGGTCCTTGTCTTAGTCGTGGTACCCTGGAATATCCCCGTAGGAACTACAGGTGGGGATTTGCGGCGGAAGCCTCGGTCGGGGGGAGCGGCTCGTGGCGGAGGAGAATGCGGGGAGGACGACTTGTTACTCAAAGGAGAAAGGATGGGAGCGTCACTCTGTTCCTGTTGCAGCGATGGGACCTAGAGAGTCAGTCAACTAGGTCAGGTGAGCTTCAAAGGGCTGTGGTAGCTGACAAGAGATCAATTGGGAGCATTGACAGAACACAATGTGCATATATGTAATGGAATACGATTTGATTGGGAAACAAAATGAAAATGATTATAAAGGAAAGAAAAGAAAAGAAAAGGAAGAAAAAGAAGAACGAAGGAAGGAAAGATGGAAAATTAACATGACATAGCACTATCATGACATCCATACCATCCATCGGCCAAAGGCGCCCCCGAACTGAGCCCATTGAGGGGCCAATTCAGGGCTGTCAATGGACAATGGCATGACCTGACCAACGATCGCCATAGCACACGACACTGGGTTGGCTAGGCGCAATGGCCTGATGTCGCAATGTCTTTCAAATGGGCTTCCAATTGGCAACCATGCATATTCATGACGGATGAAATGATACATTGTCGCAGTGGATGTTTCGATGGGCAACAACATTTGAGCATCAAAACTTGACTTACATCTTCACCTCCTTTCTCCCCTCTCCCATTGCGATCCCTTACACGATTTTTGGCTCGAGTGATTAAACCTTGAAGTACAAAATCCGGACGCTTGAAGCGACCCCCGGTCGATGCAGATGGAACTGTATTTACAGTACCAAACTCTTCAATGGCTTCGTTGTCGTTGTTCTGGTTCTCGTTCTGGATCTCGGCATCATATTTGATTGGTATGACACTCGTGTTTCTCCAAGATGCGTGAGACCATTGCCGTCCATGCTGGCGCTTTCTCCTAGACGTGTTCTCATGATCATCATTCAGCCCCAATCTGGGTCTGTCATCTGTTTCTCCCGATCTGTTTGCGTCGCTGAAGCTGCTCGTAGCAGAAGGCCGCGACGGCCTTGTTTTGGTCAGTGGCATGTTGTGTAGGATTGGTCTTCGGCCTTTTTTGCGCAACAAACTCGACGCACTGCGGACATCCGCCGCCGAAGGGTCGGTTTGGTCTCGACGAACAGGTAAGGCTGGGGTTTGGCGACTGCAGTCACATCAAGGCAACTTTGGATAGAGAGATGAGCCGAGATCCAAACTCTCTGCTCAACCAAACCAAGTTCCGTGTTTTCCTATAAAAAAAAAAAAACGTCACCACCGTCAGTCACGGTATTCGTTCCAAAGTTGAACAACAATTGTGCTTCAGCATTCACAATTTGTCAGCTGGAATCCGGAGATAGATGGGGGTCTTGATCTTTGAGAGACAACACAGCAAAGTGTTGGTCAGGGTCATGGTTGGCATCGTATCTGTTTTTCTACTCAAGTATGCTTCTTCACCGGTTGGTCCACGTACGTATGCAAGAAAGCACAATGCTTTTTCTGGGTATCTTCAACGGTTGTCTCAGGTCTTCGGTAACAGGTAAATGCCCCTCTTTCACTTCTCTCTTGTTCGTGCAACAATAACTCGGTCTCCACGCGCGACGGATATAATTACTAGGCGAGTACAATCCGGAGTGTGGGCCTAGGACCAGGAGGATCGTGGGCCGTTACACCTTGATGTGGATAAAACGGAAGTAGTCTGCTATTTGCATCGATTCGCCGTTGATGTGGGCGAGGACACGGGAGCAGATCCAGCAGTAAGGTCGACATATTGTCCATGAACTGGCCTATGGCCTGGGTGCATATTAAACTTCAGTCTTGCAACAGGCTGTACAGTACTATGTTGCATGATGCCCCGAGCAAAATCGGGTTTCGAGGATCCCGGCACCCGCGAGCTCAATGCTTGATCCTTGCTAGTGAAGTTGAACTATCTAACAATGATGCCAGCGTCATCTGTGACCATCCGGATGTACAAGCGTACGTATTGACAAACTGGCTCACTTCTCGTTTTGGAGGAAGCCCATGAGTGACAGGGTGACAGAACAGCTGACCTTTAATCTTTGGGGCACAAAAATAAACAACCTAAAGGTCCGATCTAGACGGCATAAGCTGACTCGCTAATTTCATCTCTTGTACTTCCAGCGGCTAACTTTTCCTGATACCCTGAGGCGAGTGAGTTTGTGGGCCTCTTCCCTGTGGAAATGAAGATGTCAAAGTGGAGGTCGGTCCGCCGACGTGTTTCGAAACCGTCGTTGCCAGAAGCGATCCAGGGAGAATTGCGATTTGTGCCAAGGCATCTTGCAGCAATTATTCAATATTGATCAGCTGGGTTCGAAATGCTATTATCGAGGATAGCGCAATAAAGGCTATTGCGTTGTAAAATCGGCAATTATTTGCGCCTGGCACATTGCATCGTTAGCATTAACGTTTTCAACAGTTAACTTGTTTACCGTGTATCAGCCCTGCAATAGTGGCAACCTTCTTTCAACGTAGATTGCAACTTGATAGGCGCCTAGGTAGGTAGTAAAGAACAAGGTTTCTCGCTACAAATTCGTATACGTGCGCACAAGGTACGTGCGTACGTGTCTCTCATACAGACTTGTTGGTACGTAGACCGACCCTGCTTGTAAATGATGAAGCTCACGTTCGTAACTCGATCCGTTACAAGTGTGGAATGGAATTGCCGTTCAATTATGTTGGTTGCCGATATCTAAGTGCGATCCTCGATTGTCCTAACCACCATCAGACCCTTCCGTGCTCTTTGCTAACGATTGCTTTAGCGTTTCCACTTCTGCCACCATTTTCGTCGTAGTAAACTGTTATTGCGAAACAAGGGGTACAACCTAGCTGTGTTATACTTGCTCAGCCCATTTAATCCCTCGCAACACGCGGCAACTTGCAGCAGCGTTGTTTTCGCCGCCTCTATTGTGCCTGCCGCCTCAGTAAGATTGCGCGCGCACCACGATAGCTCCCGGAACAACGGATGCAAGGTAATATGAAATCGGGTAGTGGAATGGTGGCAAGGGCGCAAAGTCCAGCTCAATTGCCAATGCTGTTTCCTCCTTTGAGGTACAGTAATGCATGCACCTTGCCTTACCAACCACCAACCTAAGAAAGTCATGGTGAAGATCTCTTGCACTACCTCTCAGGCCCATGACTATACGCAACATCAGCCAACATTGAGTATTGGGTATCTTCTGTGTCGTGGTCTGTCGCACGGGGATAGACAGCCGATGAAGCAAACATGTTCTTTGATTCAAGGAGTCTCTTCTCAACCCTTTAGCAGTAGCCAACAAGCGATTGGCTCTAGTCCGCTGAAGCATTATTAGACTCAGACAAGAATGTTTCGAAGCTCAAGCTGGCGGCGTGTCATGCACAACGACAAGCAGATACTTGGGATCTGGCACAATGACCAATTCCTGTTTCCTTGTCCGCAATCTTAGAAGCTTCACCTCATCCTGTCAAGTATCAGCAGTGAACTTCCATAATGCCGAATACTGCTCTCACCTCGCCGTCCAATTCCTGGACTAAATTTCCGGAGCTATTCACATAATTCCAGACGATCGCTGCGAACTGCTCGACTCCTTGGGTTTCGCTTTCTTCTAGCGCAGGGGTTTCATTGGAGAATGTTGTCGCCGTAGATGTAGTCCGAGACTTGGAGGTCTGCAAGGCGTCGACTTGTCCGCTTGTTTTGAGGATCGCACCTGTAGCGCGGTCAAGGACAATGCTAGCTTTCACACCAGGCTTCTTCGACAAGCGACCGAGCTTCTCCTCGAGGGCATCGTGCCCATTGACCTAAAATCTTGTAAGCCAGATAAATTTCCCATCAATTAGTAATGCAGCATACCAGTGTCGTGTCAGACATTCTAAATGTGGTGTTGAGTGCTGCTTTGGTAGACCTGGCTTATCAGCTCCCGGCGTGGTTAGATAGAGGACAGGGAGGTCGCGGGGCAGGCTGACAGGACGCATATTCTGCCACCAGACACCGCCAAAATTTTGAGAAACCCATTAAGGAAAGTAGATCTTATCAGTGGTGGTCGAAGAATCTAAATCTTAAAGTACCAGCGGCATCTCAGTATTACAATCGTAATCGCCTATCATCATTGAATCTACACCTACTATTGCTGGTTTTCATAGCAAATAAACCGACAACATGGGCTCCAGCAACAAGAAAAAGCGTGAGAAGCAGAAGGACTTCCAAGTATGTATCGATTGTCACTGTCTTGCAGAAACATGGATTCACAATTATGATGTAGAAACCGAAGTTCAAGGTTGGAAAGGACAAGGCAAAAGCCTCCAACTTCACAGACACGAGTTTCAAGTCCAGAGGTAGATGAAAAGTCACACTATCGGCATCTTCCAATTACTAACAAGTCGTAGCGATTGTAATGGGACATCAATCACTGTCAGCAGTAGCCCCCGATGTCGTTCAACAATTCAAGCACAATCTATCACTCGCATCTTCTTCAAAATCTGACAAACAAAGGAGGGAAGCATTGGCGTATCTCACTTCTCAACTCTCTTCAGAACCTCCTATCAACCCTGTAGGAACACATGCGGTGCTTGTCAAGTTGCTCCCTTTAATCTCAGATAGCTCGACACCAGTCCGAAGTCAACTTCTCAAACTTTTTAGAGAGCTTCCATCTGACGAGGTCAGGCACAGTGTTGAGCAAGCCATCATGTTCGTCCGGGCAGGCATGACTCATCTATCAGCAGATATTAGCAACGACTCACTGGGCATGATGGAATGGCTTCTGGATGTGGCGGAGAATGACTTGGTTGTATGCCCTGGTGGTTGGGTCAAGACCTTGAGCAGTTTCTGTGCCATGATGGGATGGGCACTGAAAACCCCAAAAGCCGGATGGTCTTCTGGCACAAAATCTGGACTCAGCGCCAAGGGTGCTGCAACATATGCCCGCCAGATCGCTACACTATCACGGTTTCTGGAAGCCGGCCTTCGACCGGAAGCTGAGATTCCAGCAGATGAGTCGGAGATATGGGACAACTTGTACCGGATACCCCAGGATTCGAATGCTTTCGAATATCTCAACCTATACGGCACTAGACGAGACGAAGAAGGGGAAATGTACCCTAGCCGAGACGCGAGACAACGAGTTTTTGAGCGAAGGTTTTTAGAGGCAGTATTGAAGGGTGCGGACCAAGCGAAGAAAGAAGGCGGTGCTACAGGCCGAGCGGCGGCTGGCCTCGACCAAGTGCTCCAGAACGGAATGGGCGAATATGAGAGTTCAACAGCAATGGATACCCAGGATCTCCTGAGCCTTTGGTGAAAGGTTTTTATAGATCCCTAATGATACACACTCGCTTAGATACATTCAAAAGTCTATGTCATGCTTACGGGTTGCTAGAATGGCGCTGTATGTTTAGATGTAATGCGTCTTATGCATATTCTCCCACCCCAGAGTCTGTCGCTCGAGTTCAACATGTGTGGGAAACCAAGTCTACAGTATTGAGCTCAGAATGCATCGATTGTGATATCGTTAAGCCAGAAGCAGGCAACATGCCCCCGATCTAAGCTTAGCAAGATTTGTGGCTCATAGTCCCATACAGCCAGGGTCAATGAGAACGATAAGTACCGCAGGTAGGCAATATACGATGCAGGCGTATGATTATTGGCATGTTTGGAATAAGCCATTACAGAATAGGGATTTTCTTGCTCGTTGCGGTGTCGCTCCCGATTGTTTCCCCCTGACTTGTAACAACAATCACATCGTTTCCCCCATTTTGGACTCCAGGCACTCCCATTGAATGATAAGCCATTGAATTTTCTTACTTTAGTAAATCGAGTCCGAGATTTCTCGGGTGGCTACCTCGCGTTGAGGTGCACTTGTCTCCAATTATTCTCTCTGCAGCTGGCAGCTGGCTGCCGGCTGGCAGATGACTGCAAACGCATCACGGGCACGTGCCTCGACTGGCAAACATTAGTCTTCTGTATCCCTTTCCCTTATCCCCTCCTCTGTTTTTATCTTTTCTTCTCCTCTGCAGTGAATCATTGCCTTCACAGCGCGTCGCTAGGCAACACTATAAATACTCCCCCTCCGCTGCGGGCTTCCTCTTTCCTCCTTCTCTCCCTTCCCTCCATCCACACTTCGATCTTTACTCTGCTTTCCATCTTCACTCTGCCTCAACTCGCTTCCTTTGAGCCGAGTCAAAGATCTTTCTTTCTTTCCTCCTTCTACTTTAGCCAAAAGGTAGAAGCTTGAGGATACACCAACTGTCTTCTCGAGAAGCTTTCATCAGGTACGTTTCTTTTCGCCCGCCTTCCTTCTCCCAGTTTGTTTTTCCCTGCGCATCCGTGCAGCCCCTTCATTTTCCAGTCCAGATTCGCTTGCCAGCTCACCTCTTTGTGTTCTATCTATGACTTCGTGGTGGAAGGTATACTAACATTTGCTCTTGCAGTGCATCGTCTTTATCTCCATCTCGCAAAGGCCTTCTTGCCTCATCAACTCGTCTGTTTTTGCCGACACTCATCTGTGAAGTAAGTCTTCTCCATCCCCTTCAACCACTCTTGATGCATTTATCCCGATACCATCCGAGCAGTCAATCTAACCACCACACCATAGTCTCGGACACGATGTCGGACCCCTGGGGAACTGGCGACATGTCCAATGCGCTTCCTGCCACTCAGGAGGCTGACGCTCTCCCCATCACTGAGCAGAACACCCAGGCCCAAAATGGCGATGCCCAGCCCGAGCCTCCCAAGGGCTACGATGCTTCGCGTGGTCGCTGGACTGAGCCCCAGGCATTCGACTACCCGGCTTTGGCCGCTGGTAATGATACCCAGGCTTGGGGCTGCAACGCCCGCGCCTACGCCTGGCAGGACGAGTATGGCGATGTCGGCCCCCCATGCCCCGAACTTGAACTCGAGCTTTTCGGCGAGCCTGACACTCGTCACGAACGAACGGGGCTTGATTTCTCTCGGTAAGTAGTTGCGTCTCATTTTCCTTGGACGAACTAATTATTTTACAGAATCGACAGTATCGAGGTCCAGCAAGAGGGGCCAAGCAAAATCGACCCCATTGACAGCTTCGCGAAAGGTGGCATTCATCCCGCGATGTTGGAGAACATCAAGCTCTGCGGGTATGACAACCCCACTCCCATCCAGAAGTTCACCATCCCATCGATCCTCACTGGCCATGACGTTATCGGAATCGCTCAGACAGGTAGGCATATCTTTTGCATGTGTTGATACTGCTGACCCTATCCCAGGATCTGGCAAGACAGCCGCTTACCTGATCCCCATTCTGAGCAAGCTCATGGGCAAGGCTAAGAAGCTGGCTGCCTTTCGCCCAAACCCTCTCACTTACCGTCCTGGTGTTGACGACGTGACCGCCGAGCCTCTCGTGTTGATCGTCGTTCCTACTCGAGAGCTTGCTCTTCAGATCTTCAACGAAGCACGAAAGCTCTGCTATCGCACCATGCTACGACCCGGTGTCGTATATGGCGGTGTGCCTATCTCCGAGCAGATTGCTTTGCTTAACATGGGCTGTGACATTCTTGTCGGAACCCCTGGACGTCTTATTGATTTCATCCAGCGGCCCCGACACCTGACCCTCCGCCGTCTGCGCCATATCGTGATTGACGAAGCCGATGAACTGTTGAACGATGATTGGGCCGAAGAGCTCAATCCCATCCTTTCTGGTGGTGGTAAGTTCAACGGACAAGTTATCAACTCGTGGCTAACCAACTCACAGAGCAGGATGAGGGAAACGTCAAGTTCAGCTTGTTTTCGGCTACCTTCCCGAAGGCTGCCCGTGATCTTGCCAAGAACTACCTGGCTGCTTCTCATGTCCGCTTCCGCGTTGGTCGTGCTGGAAGCACTACTGCCAACATCAAGCAGATTGTTCTGCAGGCGGAGTCTCACGAGAAGCGAGAGCTTTTGGTCGGCTTGCTTGAGGAAATGCATGGTATTCGCACCATCATTTTCGTGAACAGCCGTCAGGCCGCCGACAACCTCGATGATTTCCTTTTCAACATGCATCTTCCGGTCACTTCCATGCACAGCGACCGTACCCAGCAGGAGCGCGAAGCCGCTATGCGTTCTTTCCGATCGGGTAACGCACCCATCCTCATTGCCACTGGAGTCACTGCGCGTGGCATCGACGTCCAGAACGTCATGCATGTCATCAACTATGACCTGCCTTCTCTTGAGTATGGCGGTATCGAGGAATACACTCACCGCATCGGTATGATCACATTCCTTACTCATATTCAATTACTAACCTGAACAGGTCGAACTGGTCGTATCGGACATCGAGGCGTAGCTACGTCCTTCTTTTCCGAGCGAGATGAACCCATTGGCAGCGTCCTCACTCGCACCTTGCTGGAGACTGACCAGGAAATTCCCGAGTTCTTGCAGCAGTACGTCCCTGAAGGCGAAGCCCGCGCCAACCTCAAGTTCGAGGCTGATTCGGATTTCGATCCGAACGACTATGCTGGTGCTGGCGATGCTGGCGGCGATGCCTGGGGAGGCGGTGATGGCGATGGCGATGGCGATGGCGCTGATGTCGGTGCGGGTGGTGCCTGGGGAGGAGGTGGTGGCGACAACGGCAATGCTGGTGGTGATGCTTGGGGCCCTCCTGACGACAAACCTCAGGCCGGCGGCTGGAATGACTCTGCTGCCCCTGCCCCCGTTGTCGCCGATGCTTGGTAAATCTTCGAGTTCCGCAACAGCACAGGTAGGCATCTACTAGTGGCTTGTCAGGTCTTTTTGGCCATGAGACTTTCAGGTGAAAGGAATTACAGCTTAGTGTTGGCTGTACGCAAAGGACATTACCGAGATACAAGGATGATCTGACCGTCTGGGAGCTCCTAGATTAGTAGATAGATAGCATCTCAACGAATGACAGATTTGCACTCAATGAATTAAATCCACTGCTTGTGAACTCGTGATGCCGTAGCCACCCACTTGTTTGAAGGTATGTATTCTTTATTGTTTAGTTCTGCTCATCAGTCGTGAGATTATTTATCATCTGATTTATTCAAACCGTGACCAAACAAAGTTTTGTCCGAAACTTGAGTAATCTGACGTTGCAGACTTGTGTCCGCGTTTTCTACCTCGTCGCCAGTGCTTGCTATAACCCTCTAGCCTACATGTTCTGGAGAATCTTGCCAAGACCTTGGAGTTTCCTGATAGGGGCTCCATAGCCCAGCTCGACAACACCTTGAGTAAACTTCCAGCTGTCAGGCTGGCTCCTGACAGGATACTGTACAGGAGGTGGGATGCTAGTACGAATGCCCAGCCAGCCAAAGCGGTCCTCACAGACAGCCTTCGCATTGCAAAGTCCCCGCAGGCCTTCCTCACCTGCGAAACGACCATAACCAGAACCACCGACACCACCGAAGGGGAGCTGGACAGCATAGTAAACGGCAAAGTCGTTAACAGCGACCATACCGGCGCGAAGTCCCTTGACGATAGGCTGCACGTTGGGGTCACGCTCAGAACCATGGACGGAGGCACCAAGGCCAAAGTTAGGTGCGTTGGCAATAGAGAGGATGTCTTCAGGAGAGGATGACTTTGCACGAAGAAGCGTGAGAACAGGGGCAAAGCACTCGTTTTGTGCAATACGCATGTCAGGGGTAACGTCTGCGAGGAAGGTTGGCTGGAAGTAGTGGCCGCTGTGGTATTCAGGATGATTGTAGCGCTTGCCGCCAGCAAGGAGACGGGCGCCTTGTGAAACAGCTTCGGAAATGAGTTCCTCGAGGCGGTCAAAGGAGGCATCAGATATCATAGCACCAACATCAGCATCGGGACCTAGTCGCAGAGCGTTGACACGGGGAGCAAGCATTTCGACAAGCTTGTCGTGGATAGCGCTAGGGGCAATGACTCGCTCAATACCAATACAGTTCTGGCCAGCAGCTTGGAAGGTTCCGCGAAGAATGACTTCAGCAATGCGCTTGAGATCACCAGAAGCAGAGTCCAGAACAATAAAAGGGTCCTTGCCACCGAGTTCAGCAACAACGGGAGTAAGACTTTTTGCTGCGCTTGCGGCAACATGATGGGCAACAGATTGCGATCCGATGAATGTGATGTGGCTGATACTAGGATGGGAAGTGAGATGGCCAGCTGCCTGGGGCCAACACACAATGGTCTGGACAAGCTGAGGATCGTGCCCATGAGCGATGAGGGCGCCACGAGCAATGTTTGTAAAGTACTTGCTAGACCAAGCCGTTTGCTCAGAAACCTTGACAAGAATGCCGTTACCAGAAAAGAGGGCGCTGATTACGGGACCAATGAAGTTATGGAAAGGGTAGTTCCAGCTGACCAGGGCAGCAACGACACCGAGGGGCTCATAGTGAACTGTATTGCGCTTGTACATCATGAGAAAGTTGGTCGGACGGCGCGAGGGGCGCAATGCCTGTTCTCCGTGGGATAACGTCCACTTGAGCTTCTCGGCTGTAACAAGAATCTCTCCCAGCTGGGCGTCCACCATGGTTTTTCCACTGTCGAGACAAGCAATCTTGACAATCTCCTCAGCATTGTCGAGAACGTGCTGTAGCAGCGAGCGCAGCACAGCACGGCGCTGGTCGAATGTAGTCTCGGCCCATGTCTTCTGCGCGGCGGCAGCAGCAGAAACGGCGCGGTCGATGGCGGCAGGTGTAGAAGGGTTGATGTTTCCTAGGAACTGACCGGTTGCTGGGGCGTAACATTGGACAGCTGAGCTACCGGAGACCTTGACAGAGGTGACATCGACGGTGGTGTGCGGCTCGGGGACCTTGGGCGAAGGAACAGTGTACTTTCGAGGGCGGCTGGTAGCTGTTGAGACGGACGCTGCAGCAATGGCGTTGGTGACGCGGAGGATGAAAGTAGCGGCGATAATCGCGACAACTGTTGCAGCGGCGGAGAGGGTGGATTGTCTTTGAGGAGTGTGTTAGCTTAGACGTGTTCAATGGCTGAATAGATTAAACGTACGAGATGTTGTGCTCAGCTGCCATTTCACTGCATCGCCGCCAAACGGCGAGAAGCAGAGGCTCTTGATCCTCCATTGTATGTTCAAGCACGATCAGTCTTGTTTACAAATGTAGGAAAGACCCAGAGAGTAGAAATTGGGCGTCTTCTTTATATCATGCCACAACTGGAGCCCACGCGAGTGTCATTTATTAAAGTGGGAGTGAAGTCACCTTTAATTGCCCGTACCATATCTAGCTCCAGGGACTTTGTGGAACCCGTTCCTGCCAAGCCTTGACCGATATAGCGTATTCGTACTCGCCGCTTGCTACTCATATCCCAAATCGAACCATTAACAGAGTCACTTCATGTTACTGCGCCCGATATTCTAGTAATTGAATTGCGTATCGTCTTATTGATTTTCATGTCTGGTTTCCAAAACAACGGAAAACCTGATTATATAACCGCTGCTTATTTACTGTCTGTCTCGGAACGTCATCCGCCTCCCTCTCTTTCTCTCTTTCGCTTCTCGATTTGAATCGTTCCCTCCCCTCTCTCGACTCCTCCTTCGCCCGCTTTCTTCTCCCTTCTCAACTCCTTCCACGCAATAATGAAATAATCTTCGTCAGGGAATGGTTTCGCTGCTCTCCAGCTCTAAAGATGCTAAAAAGAAAAGGAAAAGGGTGGAAAGAAAATCTTCGGCGGAGGAAATAAGACTAAAAGTGATAGTACTGGAAGCCACCAAAAAACAGTTCATACAAAAAAAAGCAAAACCCTCCTTTTGCGTTTCCCCTTTATAACGCCCTGCGTATGTAAAGCAAACCTCCCAGCGTAAAGCGTGGGAGGATCAAGAAAAAAGAACTAATTTCGACCTCGTTGCCTTCGTTGCGTGCTTCAGCGCATGAACAAACGGACAAAGACCGGGGGGAGCAGCTGACAGATCGCTCATGCAGATCGTACGTGCATCACTGGCCCCGTAAAGGCCTGGGATATCAAAAGCAATAAAAGGCGAAGAGAAACAAAGCTCAGAAACTGAAAAGGAGATCCGTGTCATCAGCCATGGTTGAGGAGTATACAGGAAGGACCAAGTAGTTGTGTGAATCATCATCCATCTCTTATATGTTGGCACTCTTGGTCAGTGAAAGCCCTCTGAGGCGAGGATGGAAGCGTCCTGCCTGTGATTGACTCGACTCGATTCGTGATAGCCGCGCTGCTGATGTGAAGTCATTGCTAGCCTCGAAGCTGGGTCTGACACGGTCCATCGAGGCCCTCATTCGATCGTACGAAGGCCGGGCACGGTCAATCGAAGGGCGAGCTTGCATGGGTACATCTAGCGAAATACGGTGCGCCGTATAATTAGTTGAGTCGCTACCATTCTGGCTGTGCTGATTATACGTTGTCGTTCTCGTCGCTGTTGAAGGGGGGTAAATGGGTCGCAGGTCCTCATCAATACTACCATAGGCAACATGCTTCGGCATCTTCTTAGACCTCCTAGAGCTCTTGGAAGACTTCGACTTGTCGCTCTTAGTGTCAGCAGTAGGTGGGTCACTTGTGTCGTCTGTTTGGTAAAGGTGGGCGAACTGGCCCATCCTCTCCTGCTCACGGATGATATCGACATCATAAGGCCAGTAAACCTTCTGCAGAGCCTTGATAGCAAAGCGAGGGAAGAGGCAAATGACAGGCACCAGGAAGAAACACGCCCAGAAAGTTGCCTCTCCATAAACTTGAGCGGCAGTACCGTAGAAGTAAGCCGAAGAAGTGAAACATGTGTAAACTCCAGTCCAGAAGAAGATGGACAGGTCCGAGATGACAACGATAAGTACCATGAGCCAATCCCAGCGATAGGTATTGATCAAGATGTACATATTGATAGTAATAACGGCAGGGTGGGCGACGTAGGCACCAAATCGAAGGCGATCCTCTAGGCCAAGACCATTCATAGTCAAAAAGGTACCAGGCATGAACAGCAAGTAAGGAATGAAAAAGACCATAATGGACTGGTAGACGCCATCGATCATGTAGAGCCTTGATCATGTTAGTACGAAGCAGTACAGTAATATTACCAGAGCGTTACTTACCAGAATTTGAGCTGGGTCCACTCCAGTCGCTCAATACCACGTCGGTAGAGCTGAGGAACAGCAAGAGATACCTTGTCAGACACGTCCTGATCCAGGACACCCATGATAGCGACAGGAATCGATGTGAAGAACAAGTTGAACATGAGAATGTATGTGTAGTCGAACAAATAGGTCATATCCATATCACAATAAATCTCATACCAAAAGATGGAGAAAGTCCATACCATGTTCTTGTAAAAGAAGTTGCTTATACTTTCAGCAAGACGGCGATAGGACCATCGACCATGTACAAGCACCAGTCTTGATAGGAACCGGAACTGAGCAATCGCGTAATCAGAAGACATGGCAGCCTGACGACCTTCAACACCAGCAATACCGACACCAACGTCGGCCTCCTGAATCATGGCGACATCGTTGGCACCGTCACCAATGGAGAGAGTCATGACGTCGAGGCCGTTCTTGACCATGGCTACCACAGCAGCCTTTTGGGCGGGACTGACACGGCAACACAGGACTGATTTGCACTGCTTGCAGAGTAGAAGGAATTTCTGTTTCAAGCGGTCATTAAGGACCCATCGGAGAGTAAAACCATCAATAACCAGTCCATGTGTTGGTGCCGGTGGCTCGTGATTCTTCTTAGCGAGAGCGAGATCGTGGTCGCTACCGGTAATACCAAAGATTTGAAGATTGTCGTCGAGAAGCCTTTCTGCCATTTCAAAGAAGGCATCATCGGTAATCTCACCAGACTCGTCCTCGTTCACCTTCAGATGAATCAACTCCATGTCGTTGTTAAGAAGATTGCATGAGAAACCGATGTTGATAGCAGTCTCAACCTTGTCACCGGTAAGAACCCAGAGCTTGATACCAGCGTTACCCAGGAGAGCGATTGTATCGGGGACTCCATCCTGCAGGCGATCTTCGATAGCTGTGCCACCAACGAGGTAAAGATCTTGTTCGATCAGCTCAGCCACGGTTTCCAGCTTCTCTTCTCGTTCCTCCAATGCGGAGGCGGCTGCGTCATGCTCCTTCTTCCAGACTCGGTAGTCTTGCTCTGTAACTTCCTTCCAGGCGATGCAGAGTGTTCGAAGACCTTCACGAGCAAACATCTCGAGGTGTTCCGCGGTGGTCTGTCTGAGCTCTTTCTGCTCCCCACGCTTGAGACGAGAATAAATGATACTGTCGGCTCCCTTGCAGAAGAGGATAATTCGGCCATCCGGCATCCTTACAATCGAACTCATTCGCTTTCGGCTAGAATTAAATTCAATGGTGTTCAAAATCTGATAATGGCGGTCCTCGCCCATGACGTTGAGGTTGATACCTTCACCTGAGCTTCCCAAGACGGTAAAGCCCATATCGCGAGCAGTGGCGACCAAAGCTTCTTCGTCGGGAGATTGCGCCTTGAAGATCATCTTTGGAGAGTCGCCGTCCACCTTTTCGGCCATTACGGTATGGCAAAGAGCCAGGGCAAGCATAAAAAACTCATTGGCGTCCTTCTGCTCAGGGCCTGATTCACCAGCCAGATCGGATACAAAATCAGGGGCAATGAAAGTTAAAGCATCGTCGTGTAGAAACGGGTTATCGTGAATGTTACGCAGACCAGCCAACGCACGAACCTTGGCATCAGCAATCTCAGCACGAACCCGTTCACCTTCCTTCTCGACATCAATGCCGAGTCGCTTTTGCATTCCAGCTTGAGCTTCAGTGTAAGCCTCGCCGTATGGCTGTCCGTTGATCGTCGCTTTCTTGAACTCCATGACGTTCTGTGTTAGGGTGCCAGTCTTGTCGGAGAAAATGTATTCAATTTGGCCAACGTCATCCGAGATGTTCCAGGACTTGGGAATACATGGTTGATCGATGGGTTCGTAGTACATTTCCACGTCGTTATAAATGAAAACAGCCTGCAACGTACGGACGATTTCTAGTGTGATGTAGAGCGAAATGGGTACCAAGTTCTGGAACAGAATAATGGCGGCCCAAAATGTGATGAAACCGCTCATAGCTGGTTTTCCGCCTATGGAACCGAAGTCAAAGAAATGGAGGGAAGCATCGGTCTTCGCCCAAGCAACACCGTTGATAATGGCAGCGAGCAAACACATTATGAGCAAAATGCCGAAATTGCAAACAACATTGAAGTTCATCTCCCTAGCGATACGGGCGCGCTTACTAGGAGTTATACCGGCATTCATCATAATCTTTGTGTCGTGTCCTGTATAAATGACCACACCAACAATCCATTCGGTGTTTCGGAGGTTGCAGCCACGCAGTAGGAGATTGTCGATGGTGATAGGTTCGGTCATGTCCTCGGGTTCGTCGTCTAAGTAACCAGGCACGGATTGCTTCCATTTGATGGCACCATTATACTTGTAAAGATTAGGCTGGGGACCCTCGCTCTCGACTACGAACTCAGCGCGCTCACAGTCTCTGGCATGCTTGAGAGATCGACCGCAACGCACAGCCTGGCGAACCTTGAGATTGGTTTCGCCGTCCAAGTTTTTCGTTTCAACGTAACAAGCTCCGTCAGGATCGGAGGTAGAGAGAATAATGACATCAGCGGGCAGTTCTTCGTCGTTATAGATGCGGACAAAATCGCCGACATTGAGGCTTTTCCAAGTATCCTTCTGGAAACGAGCTCCAGAGGCAGGGTGATGATAGTTGATAACGTCTGATTTCATCTGCATCAGAGCAGCAGCGCGCTTCGCATCTTGCTCATCTGGCATCTCAAAGTGGGCGTGTGGTGTTGCCTGGGGTGACGGCGATGGAACAGGGGTCATCTGAATGTCCTCTCGAGCAGACATGAAGGACTCCCGTCCAGAGAAAGGTGATGCGATAGACTGACGCATAGACTGCCTAGTTCGTTGCGTCTCAACCGATGGGCGGGGGGCGTCATTATCAGTTGGTGCCGCCTTGCGCTTCGCCCTTTCTTCCTTCGCCTTTTTGGACCAGACAGACTGACAAGCACGCCACATGGCACCGAAGAATTTGGAGTTTGCCTTCTTGAACTGGCGCCAAGCAGAAACGTCGCCCTCCAAAACGTTGACATTGTTCCAGTTTCGGAGTCGGTGCACAGGAGCATTGTTTAGCTCAATGTCGAGAACAGTTCGTCGGTAATCTTCGATGGCATCCTTAATAGCTGTAACCGCAATAATAAAAATCAAAGGCACAGCATTGAGACCTGGGTTGACTCCGCCAAAGATTGGGAAAATCTATATCAAACGGTTAAAGGTTATTTACAAAGCCATAAGAACGTCAAAACGAGATAGTAAACTTACGACCAGAATAACCAAGAACAAGAAAAAAATGTTTGCAACGTTATGGAACTGGAACCACAAGTTCTTTGGAACGAACGATATAGGGGTGTATTTGGCTGTTCGGATCTTATTTCTCGTGAATGTTTGGCTCGGGGCGCCATTCTCATCTAGAAGTCCAGCTGGTAGGGGTTGGTTGAAGTACAAGGTCCGGTTTTCGTGCTCCTCTTCTTCCTCAGCATCATCCTCATTGTTGGGATTCGCTTCCGGTGGTTGTCCATCATCACCGGCAGGGTCGGATCCATCAGAAGGGGGGTTCTTTTCGTTGGAGCCTGTCTTCTTGTGTCCCATTCGTTCAAGAAGAGAGTTGCGCTTATTGTTACTACTGTTAACACTTTTCCTTTGGGTAGCCCAACGCGATCTTTGAGTAGCGCTCAAATGCTGAGAATCGTCGGGAGCAAGATGACCGTCAGCTGTTGTTGTGGTCATGGTGAAGTCGCGGGCAAGCGCCCGATCGGCCCCTCGATGCCAGCCAGGTTGGGAGAAATGAGCAGAGCTAAATCTGTCGAGGCGGGATACGGATGATGAAATTCGGCACGATCAATATTATATGGCACGTTACGGTGCAGTGCGGTGTCGAAGAGAATGGAGCAGGTGCAATTGAAGCAACACCAGCTGCTCGTTAGAAGATTATTAATGGAGCCGACGGGATGGTTGTTTTGGAAATTAACGACGTCGCCAGGGCCGTTGAGAAGTCGTCAAGACGATGCAAGAAAGTGAGTGAAGCGGGAACGTGGAGAGGGTAAAGGTAAGTTTGATGGTGACGAGATGTGAGAAGTCTGGTCTGGATGGCTGGCTCGGAAGTATGGTACAAGGGGAATTGTGTAAGCAATGTTAGGATCAAATGGGGCTCGCTCCATGGAAAGAACGGGGCGGCGAGGCAAGGCAAGGCAAGCTAGCAAGGCAACCTGAGAAAGGGAAAAAAAGATACGGTGGACTTTTTGAAGGAGACCGCACCCTGTCCGCCAGTCAGAGTGAGCAAACCGCCAAAAAGTGAGACTCTAGCACTCGGACTGGCAAAGAAAGAGGACAATTCTGGGTGGTACCCGCTCGAGACAAGCACTGGGACTCGCTGGGGAGCGTTGCTGAAGGGGAAATAGACAGTGGAGAGAGGGTGTCGGGGGGCGTGGGGCGCGGTGGGTGTGTGTGTGCGTGAGAGTCGTACTCCCGACCCATCCGACGCGCTCATCTGCTCTGCCCGGAATGTACCCCTTAAGTACCCTGTCATCTTGTCCTGCTTTACCTTATGCTCCCCGCCTACACAGTACCTAGGTAGGTACAAATGGCTAGTGCTTCACGATATGCTGGGCTGTCTCGCACTCATCTCATGCTTACTGTACCTCACTTTACTGCTTCACAGGTCAAAAGGATGGTACAGCCCTACTAAGGCAGTGTTGCTAAGCTCCAATTCATCCAATCCAATTCTATACTGTTCAGTCCGATTGATCGTCTATCCAAATATAGTATTCATCAGTCATGTGTAACAAATACGACTGGACATGATCCGTCAGGTTGGTCTTGAAATCAATTTCCTACCTGGGTGCAGTTGTATTACTCACAGCACAGAGGTAAGTGCCTCCTGTAGGGAGTTTGCAAGAGTCCTTACCGGGCTACTAGACAGCCCGATACAATAAGTTCTGTCCTCAACGGTGTCCGAACTCATCGATCGCGTCCGCTAACGCTGGCGCCACGTGTTTAACTCTTTCTATCCCGTCCTCCCTCCTTCTCTTGACTGTCTTCAGTTTGATGCAATCATTATTCAACGTGACGCCAGTACAAACCTCAGCCCTGGGAACCTAATAGGAGCCTCCCTCGGATGTCTGTTGCGGCATTGGCGGGCGCTACAGATCCCCGACGCTAACTCGAGTGTGCATCGCATCTCTTCCAATCCAATTGGGAAAAACGGGACCTGCAATGAAACCCCGTCGTCCAGGGGTACCTAACAAAGACCACAGCAGTTGAGTGAGTAACCACCAGAACGATGTTGGCCGAAAACGACTGGCACAGCTGAAAGACTTCATCAATATATTCGCATCAGTCCAAGAGTTCTTGTTATCCAAGCGCCAGATGAAAACTCGGTCCTATAAGAGTTTTGTTAGCAACTTCATACTCTCTGTTGCAGCCCACGCCTCCGGCTGGCATTTGCTAGCCCCCCCTTGAAGCATCAACATACCCCTAGCAAAGGGGGAGCCTATAATAGGACGTGTCTAAATTTGCCAAGCAGCCCGTCAAGATTGTCATTGAGCATGTGTTGCTTGTTTTTACGAAGGCCATAAGCGATTTTGGTCTTCCTGGATGTCGCCTACATCAATAAATGGAAATCTCGGAGCAAGAGGCAGAAATTGACGATCTTGGCTCCGATGCCTCCGTTTATCGACCCCGCTTACGGGCAATGCACTCGTCCGCGGATGACCGAAGATATCGATAGCGTGATGCATATCGTGAAAACCCATTCCGATAAGTCCGTGAGAGTGTGGTCTTTTTAATTGACGCCGTCTTGAGGTAGAGAATGGGCGGAGTTTCAATGAGTCTCGTCGGCTTTTTACCGTGTCGGTAAAAGCAACCCTTGACGGCCAGCCGTTATCAACTACGGTTTTGCGGTAGGTCGTATTTTACATTCATAGTCATTTGAGTGGTGATTGTGCAAATTTCCTGGCGAGGATCAGGGGACGGAGGTTGCGCAACGAAAACTCACATTTTAACCTCAAAAGCCAAGCACCAAGGGACCCGTCACTGCACCAGTTGGCACTCAGGGACAATGTTTCGAGACGGGGTCTGGGGGTCCTCCACTCTTTCGTTCTCTCTAACCTTGCGTGATGATCCTTCTGGGTTTCAGTCGCTTGGCGGCATCAAGATCCGGCATCGTCCCGTCTAATTGTCGATATACTATGAGTTAGATCTGAGACTACTCTTGAGTCCTCTTGTTCAAGGTTGTCTGCCCTTGGCTATTTTGGACTAAGATCTGGCGAGAACAACTAAGAGTACCTATGTATGTAATAGAATACCAATGACACTCCACATCTTCGTGGTTAACTAACGGATGCTTAATTACCTAGTAGGTCTGCATACTACGTAACAAGCTTCCTTCCAGATCTTCGCGTAACTGCCTCATTCAGAGAAACGACGTGACCCAGTAAAGTACAGTCTGCGTACCTCTATGCAAACGCTTCATCAAAGCGTCCTTGGTTTTATACTGGTTTAACTTTTATCTCCAGTCTGCCAGTGTCGTCCTCAGGTTTTCGGCAATTAACTTGCTCTTGTGTTTACATACTAGGATCTTACAAGCACCTTCCTCACTCCGACGCTAGATGCAATTCTTCTGATTCTTCTCGAGTTCCGTAGATCCCGCCAATACTGTTGTATACATGTCCCTACTAAGCTGCTTTCGTGACGTCGGGTTCACGGGGTTTAATTACGAGCGAGGGAAGCGCCACATCCTTTTTCTCCCGCGATTAGAAACCAAAAATCTCGTGCCTCGGCCGGTCGCTGTCTGATAATACCGTAATCCGTCAACGGAGCTTACAAACATGCGACATGCAAACTATCACAGCGGGGACTTTCATTTTTTGTTTTATTCTCATTCTGATGGACCCGTTCTCATTCGACCAGGAGCGGCGAGGCCGTGGTATCTGCGGATACCTATACTCACTACTCTGAAGGCGACGGTTTACGATCCACTTGGTCGGTTATGGAAAGGCACTAATATCGACGTTTCATGATTCAGCCTGACTCGATACTGAACTTGATCAAGTACGGTGATGCGCTTTATAAAAAGTCTGCTATTTCCGCATGTACTGCCGAAGAGTCTAGTTTTCGGGAACACAAAGGCAAACCATTTGTGCTTCTGCAGCGTTACATTCAAGACTTTTTAATATGTACATACCAGCAGTGCACAATTCTCGGGCCCTCTGTATTCTCCTCCCATAGGACACGGGTACCTACGAGTAACAAGTAAAGATCCATACATTGTTCTCCCTTATATCCTGAATCCTTATGCATACCTAGGTACATGCACAGTTCAGTGCCGCTCGGGAACTCTAGTGCCCTTTGCTCCCTGTTTCGTCAACTCCATAAGACCCTTGTTAGGGGTCTCCTCTCTTGAGCCTACGTACCTTCTGCAGGTCCAAATTTCCAGTCCATGACGAGATATCAGGGGTGGGTAGGTAGTCAGAAATCACGACAACTAGATCGTCAAGTTCAACAACCTATTTTGAACCATCCATGGCACAATATCCGTAGCATGAAACATACTAGAAGGAATGGGCATGTAGAAGGATATATTCCGAGTCTACTCCGCCAGTCTTGCGACTTCTAGGTACTGGGATAGTCGTGGCGACGTACTCTATAAACGTTCACTCAATCAATAATAATAAGCATTTTTTGTCCCGATGATCTTTTTTTTTTTTCGTACTCCCAGGGATCCCAGACTACCTATAATGAGATCCATGGATCAGTACCTGCTACCTCATTAGGTTAGATCCATCGTTAGACAGGGAGGTACACGTACTGAGCCAACCCTCTATAGGAAGGATAGCGCTAAGTTGGGCTTTGTCAGCCTCAAATTGGTCAGGCCAATTAAGCTCTAGCAAATGAATCAGTGATGTATTTTGATGCCATTAGAAAAGCGTCATCACTAGAACAGAGAAGAACAAAGCAGTAGCATTATCAAGCTCACTAACGCTGATTGATAATAAACTAAGCAGCCAGGTTAGTCAATACCTTGTCGACGTTAGTTCGCGCTTCTCTATGGCCCACATGCAATACAAGCCAAGATTGGAATGACAATGGACGCACGTAAGCTTTCTTCAGGGATTAAAGACAGATCGCATACCAAATACAAGGATTCAAACCCAATTTTGGTGATGTACGAGCCTTTACCTATAGATACTGCGCCATGATTTGTGCAGCAATCCAGGAATAAGATGCTGGAATGAACTGACGATCCTCCCTTCCATTCATTGTCTTTTCGGCAGATTTGGCAGTAAAACACATAACCCCCTTTTTCTTAACCACACAACGCGCATGCGTCAACAGTAGATTAATTAGTCTACAGTGAGGCTTCACTGGGTTTGGTCTTGGTTCACCCCATGGACGCCGCGTATCTTGGGCACGAACCTCTGAGCTAAAAACAACAACATTAGGTACGTTTGTATCGTGATAAAGACCTGGTCAATGCTGTCGGCTACAATACCAAGACCAACCAAGATGGGGATTCTTCTGGAAATTCGTGTTTCGAGAAAAGGGGCCATGAACCAAGAACCAAAACTCATTCCATTCTTTAGCTGCCTGCGCCACAGTCAGGGATGATTGATTCGCTGTAGGGTGAGAGTGTCTATCAGTAAACAATACGGCATCAATTGCTCAACTATCTTTAGACTTACGGTTTGGATCAGTATGCAATAGATACATAGCACTGCAAATGTTTCTGTTCATGTGTATATTGACGAACATGGAAGATTCAGAGTCTCTTATTCAGCGCTAAGAACTTAACAGCCACTTTAGCCACACATGATCACTCTTTAGCTTTGATACCACCAAAACGCGGTCTCAATCCAAACCAATTAACGCGGTTGGCATGACAGCTCCATCATAACTCTACTTCTGCGGATGACTTGACCAGGTTAAAGACTTATGACACTTATCTGATTATTGACTGTCGCACTTTTTCATCAAAGAGACAGGGTCCAACATGTCTCAGAATAGCAAAAATGGCAATATCATGAGCTTCTTCAAGCCCAAGGCAAGATCTCAAACACCCAAGGCTACCAAATCCTCAACGCCAGATCCGCCATCTTCATATCCGCTGGAACAAAAGGCGACTACCCCTGTGAAGAAGACAGTGTCGCCAACCCCGAATCGTGTGATTCAAGCCTCAGATGATGAGGATGACTTCGGATCTTCGTCCGACGACTCGCTCGAGGATCTATCCACCATCATCGGACGAGGGCGACCAGCAAAGGCAACTCAGTCTCCTGCCCGCAACCTATTTGCTACGCCAAAAGCAAAGAGAACTGCTGTCGAGTTTCATACCTCTCCGTTGGCCATAATATCCAAGCACAGATTCGACCTCAAAGCGTTAGCCAAGGATGCTCGCCAGGACGATGCTATTACAGCAAGCTCGATGAGAGCAAAAGCTTTATCAAATCTTGACGACCAAGCAGATGTACAAATGACGACAGATGAGACATCACATGATGTCATGGAGGGTATTGTCAAGAGTAACACGGCTCAAGATGCACAGAAAGTCATGAGAGCAGTAAAAAGATCAGAGACTGGCCAGTCGGAACTTCGGTATTGTTTCTTCTCCAAAGACTACGCCATGCCTCCCCCTAGTCCTGCCCCGAAGAAATTCAACAAGGGCCACTGGAGGTTGTTAACTCAGGGCGATTACAAAACTCGCGAACAGCATCTTGCATCTGGTGTGCCACTCACCCTGCTCCAACTGCAAGGAGGTTTACCGGAAGAGCTTTTCGATTGGATCTTGAACGACCTATGCGCCCAAAAATCATCTCTTGTCAGGCAAGAATACTGTAACCTGCTCAGTAATTGCATAGATCTTATCGAGCCACGTATCACACCGCAGCGACTAGAAGAGCTCCTGTATCGTTTTGGCGCCTCCCCTGAGCTCGGGCAGTGGGACTCGGAGTTAGATATATCAAAACCCGGCGCTGAGCCTTATGAAGGACGCGACTGGTCACCTCTGAGCTCCTTCCTATCACTCCTGACAGCTGTGTCACCGTACATGCCCGAAGACTCTATTGTTTACGCATCACAGGCGCTGCTGCGTATGTCGATGGACAAGTTTTTGATCTACGACATCAATCTCCTGACTACCTACGAGATTACTATTGGTACTCTCTTGGAAGCCATTCCCCAGCCCAGCTGGGACGCATTCGTGAGTCGCGCTCTGAAATCGTACAGGAAACAATCACTGACAGTTGATTAGTGCCTCGAAACCTGCACACTATTACATACCTTGGTCAAGGCACAATGCGTCAGAACGAATACTCTAGCATGTCTGCCCATCAGTAAGACGAGGGCCCATGAAATGAGACGACGTCTGGCTGCAGTATTCTTGTTCGATGATCCGGCTTTGGGCCGCTTTCATCCTGATGATACAATAACTATCCGTAGCATCATAAAGAGACTAGGCCACAATGACTTTGCCGTCGGGCCTAAAACAGATTTTACTGAACTTCAAGCCAACATTCTACTTCTTAACATCACAGTAGATGACGGTTCTTTCGCGCCATCTGATGACCCGGAACACGAGAAACAATTCAACAGCGACATCGACGAACTCTCAGGAAAGCTACGAGAGATCTGGCGAAAGATCAACGACGCGGGGATGAAGCTTGCTCGCACGGAAGCAAAGAGTGTGATAGAATGGGTACAGCAACGACTGGCACACTCTGTTCGCACTCGCCGGAAGGCTAAGAAGAGTATCTTTGACCTTCCAAGCCAAAAGCAGGATTCTTTTCTTCCCGAACAGCAGAACTACATGAGGAGCTTCCTGCGTAAGACCCAAGAAACTACCTCGGCATAGGCACCAAAGCAGTCAACATCAGGAAAAACGGGCTTGAAAGAAAATAATAAGCCAGAAACTATTACTGTGAACTGGAAGTGAGGACAAGGGGACCAACAGGACCAGACGTCCAGATGTTGAGCATATAATGTTCACTAGATGTAGTTTAACAATAAACGAGTCATTGGAATGTAATCAATTCTACCACGGGCCAAGTTCCAAATCAATCAAAACAGGTTAAACACGCGATACACAGCCTCCAAACTACGAAGCGCAGACTGATCAACAATACGGGTCGCAGGTAGTTCGAAAGCCTCTCCAGCCATGCGCCCATCGAAGCCGGCTGAAGTATAGACAGGCAGAGGCACCCACACACATATCTGGCCGGTGAGAGAGTTTAGTCGTTGAACTTGCGGTTGGGGTTCTTGCCGAATAGAGCCTCTCGCACCGCAGGCGCAGCAGACTCCTCAAGCAACTTCAATCTGGCCTCGAAGGTGTTGTCGATGTCAATCTTTCCGCTTCCGCTAATGATAAACACTCCACCGGCGCTGTTTCTTCGTTAGCTACTATCCGCATGGATCGATATGAGAAGCGCATCACATACATTCCCTCAGGAAGAGGATCATCCTCCTGAATCTTTGCCGTAATGTCCTTTCCGAGCTCCTTCTTGAAGTCCTTGGCGGCCTCCTCAATAGCCTTCTTGACGACGTCGTAGTCCTTTCTGCGTGCACGAACTTGAAGTTCAGGCTCATTGAGAGCATAGAAGCCCTCGAGCAAGAGACCCTTGAGGGCCTTTTGGTACTTGGCCTTATCCTTGGCACCCTCGGCGAGCTTCTTCTGAGCCTCCTCGAAAATGTTATCGAGCATCTCCTGACGGGCGCCGAGAACCTTGAGTCGCGTCTTGTTGGAAACGGTAGAGCGGGTGATCTGTTGGGACATGGTGGCCTGCTTGAACTTCTTCTCGTACTGTGTATCGATGGCGTCTGTCTCCTGGCGGACAAGCTTGGACTTCTCGATCTCGAACTCCTCATTGGCCTTGATCTCGATCTCGCGGGCTTTCTCCATAGCTTCCTGCTTGATGAACGCAGTCATCTTGCTGAGCTCATTGTTGACCTGTTTTGGGGCATCGCGCGTTAGAATACGGGACTGATGAGATGGACGACGGATTGCGTCGTTTGAGCACGGGTAATGCGTACCTGCTGGTCGGATAGAGCGTGTTGCGACATGGTGGGCGGTTTTGTTCGGATTATAAGAGGTTTGTTTATTCGAAGTGTGAAGGAGTTCAGGCCTTTTCAGGGTCGAGGATATGGTGATGAAAGGCTAGTGATGGCCTCTTTGGTGGTGAGGTCAAGGATGAACTATGATGGAGTTGGTAGCTGTGATGTGACGCCAGCCGCCTAAGACCCAACCTACCCGCTCCGTCCTAGCTGCATCTTACTGTGTTCCAGCAGGGAACTGGAGCTTGGGGGGATTAAGCCACAGTTACTCCCCACAGTTTAGAGTATACAGTCATTCGCCCAGCAAGACTCAACGTCACTAACATCGACAGACATTAGAATTCGTTTGTAGTTTAAACAGTGTTAGATGAGGTTGATTTTTATTTGAAAGTACTTTAGTGCAGTTGTCGCAACGAACTGATATAACATCAGGACTCATCTTCAGCTCTGATTAATATCCCGCCTGGGCAAGAACATGCATTATGTAACTGCACTGCCACTGTGGCTAGGTAGCCGGGCAGTTAGTCTCGTGTCGGCGCTACATGCCTCTCTACTCACGTCAGGTGTCCCACGCACGACTCGAGCTTGTCCGCCTCCGACTTTCTCAACTATTGATTAGTTTGAAACCAAGACAAATCACATCGAAACAAACACCTTTTCCTCCTCCAACATTGCTTGATCCTTCTTCTTCTTCAGGCGCTGCCACCGAACGGTACATAGACTCGGCCAGCGACAGCCTCGACAGTCTCTCTTGTTATTTACCTTTGGCGCTTTGACTAGCCATTCCTCTTGACCGTATCGAATCGATTACAACATCTACTGTTTTAGTAACACGAAGCGACCATTATAACGAGGGCATTGCCTATGCGACGTCTCAACAATCCGCTTCAACTCTCCCTTGCCAGATGACCCCGGGCCTGGCAAAGGCGCAATGGGGTTGCTTGGCGGCATCTCTTCTGGAGGAACCATAGCTGTACGTCGTCGCGTACAGCACTTCTGCAACGAATAATGGTGCTAATTCGATCTAATTTAGCTTGGAATCATCGTTGGACTGTTGTCAACAAGTGTCCAAAGTCTAGGTCTTACCTTACAACGAAAGTCGCATATACTCGAAGATGAAAAAGGCCCCCACGATGTTCGAAGACCACCTTACCGAAGGAGGAGATGGCAGATCGGCATGGGAATGTTCATCGTTGCGAACCTTTTAGGAAGTAGTATTCAGATTTCGACGCTTCCACTACCCGTCCTTTCGACTTTGCAGGCCGCTGGCCTTGTTTTCAACTCGATATGCGCATCATTAATCCTAAGCGAGCCTTTCACAAGATGGTCTTTCTCGGGCACTCTTCTTGTCACAACAGGCGCTGTACTGATCGCGATATTTGGAGCCATACCTTCGCCGGCGCACGATTTGAATGAGCTTCTAGCGCTCATGGCGAGAAGACCATACATCATCTGGATGATTCTCCAAGCGCTTTTCGTTCTCACGCTGGCAATTTCTGTTGATCTAATCAACAGTATGTCGAGCCTATCTCACGATGCCCGATTCCGACTAGCCCGAGGCATAACATACGGCGTCATCAGCGGAGATCTCTCTGCTCATGCCCTTCTGTTTGCCAAGTCTTCCGTGGAGCTAGTCATCAAGACCGTTGCAGGACGTAACCAGTTCGTGCACTGGCAATCTTGGGCAATCGTTATGGCGCTTGTTACTTTGGCACTCTGCCAGCTCTACTACTTACACCGGGGTCTCAAGCTGGTTTCGACGTCTGTTCTTTATCCTTTGGTCTTCTGCGTCTACAACATCATTGCTATTTTAGATGGCTTGATATACTTTAACCAGACAAGCCTAATATCACCCCTGAGGGCATGCCTCATCGCTTTGGGAACAGTTATTTTGCTGTCTGGCGTGTTAGCGTTGTCATGGCGATTAAGCGACGAGCAGCACACCCCTGGCGTTGGTCAATCATCTCTTGCGCCCGGCCTTGGACTTGTGGAAGATACTGAGGAGGAGGAATCTCTTCTCGGCTCAGATAATGCCGTCGCTGAAGAAGATTCGATTCCGCACACATATCAAACGTTCCCGCCCGCGATTGACGAGACACCATTGGTTCCTTCTCGCAAGAGAACCCCACGGTGGGCTGAGCGAGCAGAGATCTGGGGCGAGTTAGAGGATAGGGATGAGCCCACCACCCCGGGCAGCAGGCGGCGGTCTAGCACACTCCCCCGTCACACAGAGTCATCACCCTTGTTACCGACAAAGAGATCTCTCGCAGGTGGCCCAGGCGGAGAAGAATCGGGTCCCAGCACCGAATCTACCCCTCGAAGACAGACCCGAAGACGGCGGAAGAGCACAGGCTTCCCAGGCCTTGTTGCTCGTAAGCACCAGAGAAATAGAAGCTCCACGGAGACAGGCACACTTAACAATATTCTCTCACTCAGCTGGTTCAGAAACACAAGCCGGCAACCGTCACAAGCTAGTACTAGTGACGGCTTCCCTTGGGGCACCACATCACAACCAGGGGGTTCTGAAGCAAGAGGCGATGCAGCTGTATGAGCACGGAATATTTACTCAACTAGCATTTCGGAGTCGTAATAGGGGAAGGAAGGCGAACGATAGGCGTTTTCTTGTGTAGAGTTTCTTTACGTCTGCTCTTGGTTATTATTCGTGCAACAGGACTCACGGGTTGCAAACAGTATTCTGTAATGTTCATATATATATATATACGTTTCTGGTGACGAATGCTATTGATGACGACAATGGTAATGGATTGTATAAACCCCTCAAAATATCATGCTCTTAAATATTCTTCGACCTTGGTAGGCAAATAATAACCTTTGTATGTCATGCCGCGCCGTGCTTTACAACATCATCATTGAAGGAGTAGCAGGCGTTTTGGGTCTTGTGTTTTGTCCATGCATAGAAAATTTCCATTAACTCTGTACTCTAATTCTCGTAAACCTGGCCTGTGAACCCGTCTGCGAACATTAGACGGCTGGGTACTTGCAGTCATACACATGAGTGAGAAAAATAGCGACTACATTAACTCCAAAATTCCTCCGTTCCGTACTCCAAAACCGTCAACTCCGCTTCCCCTTTTCTTTCTTGTTTTAGCTATGTAGCCATGCATGCAGGTAGACGCGAACTCCAAAAACTCGTACTGAACAGATTATGTGCCGCGAGGTAAAAAGTGAGTTTCTGTGATGAAACCCTCGTATCCATGGCATGCTGCTTTTGTGTTTCTCGTTGCAGTGTCCCAAAACTCTCCTTAGTAAAATACATAATGAAATAAATATGCACAAACTTGTATAATAACAAGTCTGCTATATTGCCAGTTGAACGAATCCGCAAATAGTAACATGATTAGGTTGATCCATGAGGGGGTATTTCCGAATAGATGAGACCGAAGACGGGATCGCAATTAGAACATGATGAACTCTCTAAATGCAGGCTTAGTCTATGAAACTCCTCCAGTCGAATGTCCAGGTCCCAGACCAGGAACAGTGCACCCATTGGCGTGGTGGAGAAATGCTGCTTGTAATCCGATATTACATGACAGAAAAACTGTAACAGACAACTCTTATGTGTTCCGTCGTCTTCTTGATTTCGCAAGGGGCAATTGCTAGGTACTCGCTTGTGCTTCGAATGTGTGCGCTATTAGGGTGGAATTAGATTAGTGACCGGGAACAGAACAGTATATACGTCGGCTTTTCGTATCAGAACGAGCTCGTTGAGTCCTAAACACGGCTCGTGCTGGCTCGGCTGCGTTCATCCTCCTCTTCCATGACATCGCTCAGCCGGGTAGGATGGTGATGGCGAGGAACTGTTTCCCAACCAGGAGTGCCATACCCTTGACCAGTATAATCCTGGGGCTCCGGGTGTGTGCCAGTCCACTGGCCACCATTACCACCACTCCCCCCTCCAGTAGAAGTCGACGGGGAATCTTGCTTACCGCTTGGTGGCACAGTGGTGGCAGGTGTTGCATACTCTTCTGCTTCAGCATCAGAACCAGAATAAGTGGAAGGTGGTGCAGCGAAGGGAATCTTATTTCCTTGGGCATCCAACAAGAAGTTGCCATTTGCATCAATCACGTACTCACCTTCGCTGTAACCACCCTCAGACATTGGTGCTTGAAGTCCTTGTTGGCGGTATTGACTGTTAGCACTAGTCGCGGGAGGTTGGTGCTGGGGAGACGATGTTGCTTCAGGTGGGTAGCCAGATCCATATTCAGTTTGGTAAGCCCCTTGAGCTCGACTGTTGTGATGTCTGGATCCGCCTTGAGTCATTGGAACAACTTGAACGCCTCCAACAATGGTAGGTTGCCCTGATTGAAGAGACAATGTTCTGTCACGCTCCTCTTGCTCGCGTCGTCCGAGTTCCTCCCATGCTCGGCGTGCCTCTTCTTTGGATATGGACAGCTCCTTGCGCATCTCGGCAAGCTGCTTCTGCGCCTTTGAAGTTCCACGCTCGTTTTCAACGGCGTCTCGGATAGCATTAGCTCGACCTTGGCGTTCCTGGTCCAAAGCAGCTTCCAGCATAGCGTTAACTTCTTGTGCGCGCTCTAGTTCCGTACGCGTTTCGAAGAACCAACGCTGGAACTTTCGTTCGGAGCTTGCACGAAGACGCTGGAGCTCAACGACAGCATGAAACAGGTTGGCACCAGCGGCTGACAGATCTGTGACCTGACGGGCCAACTGCTGGTTCAGAGGATCTCGATTCATCTCATCCTTGTTTTGCTCGAGCTTACGGATCCAGTAGCTAGTGAGACCCTCCCAATGGGCAGACAATGTCTCCCATCGCTCAAAAGCATGAGGAAAGGAGTTACGTGGTTTCGAACCACCGGTGCCTCCTTGGTTGCCACTCTCCGCGCCTTGAGCAGTAAAGTTAGGTTGTGTTCCTGGTGCTGGGCCAGTAAACGTTTGAGGGGGCGGTTGGTTAGTGGTACCAGACCGATTGGTTCGATTTTGTGGTGCTTGCCCGGTAGTATTTGCTCGAGGACGAGCTGATGTATTAT